CTTCAGACTTGCCCAAGTTCTACGGCAAGGACCACGAGGACATTGATCAATGGATCGAAAAGGTCGATGCCATCCATGAATACTCCGGCACCTCCGACGTTGATCTACTCAGGCTTCTTCCTATGATCCTTCAAGACAAGGCTTTGACTTGGTTTACCCAACTGGGTACCGAAAAGAGAGCCACTTTAAACTTCTGGAAGGACTGGAAGGAAGCTCTCAGGAATGCTTTCTACTTACCCAATCACAGGAGTGCTCTTAGACGACAATGTCTTTACAGGACTCTACGTCTCAACGAGTCTCTCAGTGACTACTTCCAAGACAAACAGAAGTTGCAACACTACGTCTACCCTGTTGGCACCTCTGAAATTGACCTGATTGAAGACATGCTGGAAGGCATCCCCCAGACCTTGAAGCCTATCATCAAGGCCAACATCAAGCCACTTACTACCTTGGAAGAATTCAGAAGGATCTTGATCGACCTCGAACCTGGCCTACGACCCGGAATACAGAAGACAGCCAGGATTACCAACAACTATGTTGCCCCTCAGCGAGTCACTTATCCCCCTCGTTTGCCTCAGGTTAACACATCAGAAACCAAACCTCCCAGTCCCTGTCCAATCTGCAAAGGCAACCATTGGAAGCGAGATTGCCCTCAACTAGTCTCTCGCAGGCCTACCAATACCAATCGTACTTCATCTTATCCCAACAACACTTACTCTGACAACAGGAAGTGGCAGACCAGGGAGGCCAACAACGTTCTCAAACAAGTCAGGTTCCAACTAGAGGACCAGGAGCTTGATGAAGATCATGCCTTTGCGGAAGACTTCCATCCTTCTGAGCCTGTCCCTCAGAAGAAACCTTCTCCTCCTGGATTGCACCAGTTACATGAAAGCAGAACTCCAACCTTTGCCGATTGTGCTATCAACAAGCCTGATGGTCCTCTACACCAGGTTTGCATTGATACAGGTGCATCCATCTCTCTTATGGATACTGCCTATGTTAAGGCCAAATTCCCCAATATCAAGGTCAACTATGGATCTGCCTTCCAAATCAAAGGACTTGGTGAATCCACTGCATTGGGATACATCCAGACGGATCTACACTTCAAGGACACCAATGGCAACTTCATCAGTCTACCTATCGCTTTCTTCCTTGCCCCCAACATGGCTTCCAAAGTCATCATTGGGACAGATTTCTTGGACCACCATGGAGCAATTGTCAATCTCGAAGACAACTCCTTGGTCTTACGGGGACAATCAGGCAAGGTACCCTTACGTACTTCAGCCTCTCCTGCCAAGTTTGCAGTACTTCGAGCCAAGGAGGCCTATCATATCTTGCCTGGGCATCAACAGGCTATCATTCTGGAACTGGATAGCCCATCTCAATCGGTCTCAGGAGAATATTGCTTGGATCCAACCTTTGCCTCGACAAATCTTGTCATTGCCAGAACCGTTGGGAACCATTCAAACAAGGTTTACCAAACGCAAGCCCTAAACACTGGACAACGACCCACAAGCATCCCTGCCGGATCTCTTATTGGGAAACTCATTCCTCTCAAGAAGGACCCAAAAGCCAGCAAAGAAGTTACCTTCGCTCATGTCAACAACATCACCACCTCTGAGCTCCTTTCTGAATTTCAACCTCATCTTGAAGCCATGGACATCAACCCAGAGTTACCAAGAGATGAGCAAGAGAGGATGAGACAGGTTATTCAAGACAACCTTCTTGCCTTTGCCTTTGGCTCAAAGAAGCTTGGACAAACCGACATGGTTACAATGACCTTAGAGACTGGTGACTCCAAACCCATCTCATCCCCGCCTTACCACGCCTCTCCTGCTGGAAGGAAAATCATCGACGACACCTTGGCAGAACTCATAGCTGACGATGTTATCGAGGAGTCTGATTCTCCTTGGGCATCCCCAGTTGTTCTGGTCCGCCAAAAAGGGAAAGACCGGTTCTGTATTGACTATCGAAAAATCAACGAAGTCCTCAGAGCGGATCAATATCCGATTCCCAGGATCGATGATATTCTCAGCCAGTTTGCAGGAAAACAATATTTCACCACCTTTGACGCAAACAAAGGATTTCATCAGGTGGACATTGTCAAGGAGGATCAACCTACAGACCGCCTTTCGGACTCATAGGGGTCTTCATCAATTCAAGAGGATGCCTTTTGGACTCAAGACTGGACCATCAGTATTTCAACGACTCACCGACCGGATGCTTGGACGATACAAATGGCAAATTGCTCTAGTCTACATTGACGACATCATTGTCTATTCAGATGACTTTGAGAAGCACTTGCAAGACGTCAACAAGGTCCTCCAACTGGTCACCAAATCTGGAATCACCCTATCTCCCAAGAAGTGCCACGTGGGATACCAGACTATCCATGCCCTTGGTCATTCCATTAGCAACTTAGGAATTGGAACAACCTCCGAGAAGATCAAGGCAGTCAAGGAGTTTCCAACACCCACCAATACCAAGGCCCTTCAACGCTTCCTTGGCCTTGCGGTATACTATCGGAAGTTTGTCAAAGACTTTGCACAGAAGGCAGCTCCACTTTACAAGCTGCTCAAGAAGGAACAAGCTTGGGAATGGGACGATGCGGCACAGCAAGCAGTGCAACAGCTTCAGGAGGCACTAACGACTAGCCCAACTCTTGCTCACCCCAACTACAACAAACCATTCCTACTCTACACAGACGCTTCAACTGTAGGACTAGGAGCTGTCTTAGCCCAACTGGATGAACACAACCACGAACATCCAATCATCTACCTCTCAAGGACTCTCAACCCTGCAGAGAAGAACTACACATCCACAGAGATGGAGTGTCTCGCAATCATTTGGGCTGTGAAGAAGCTACATGCCTATCTGGATGGATGCACATTCACCATCATCACCGATCACTCTGCCTTACAATGGCTATTGGACTTCGACGGATCGAACAAGAGACTCGTGCGGTGGTCCATGGAACTTCAACCCTACCGCCCTCACATGACTATTCGTTACCGAGCGGGACGAGTCCATGAGAATGCCGACCCTCTATCTCGTGCACCCCTTGCAGAGACAAACCACCTAGCTATCTGCAATCATATATCGGTTGCGAAGGTGGACAACACCTTATACGACAGCATCAGATCCGGATACCTGCAAGATAAAGACTTTGGACAGATCTATGCTTCTGTCCAGCTCGAAGTCCCTCCTCCTCACGTGAAACGCTTCAACGTAAAGGATGGTATCCTCTATTACCAGGATCCCTCCAATGACCACTGGAGAACCTGTATCCCGGATCATGAAAGAGTCAGGCTAGACATCTTGCATGACTTCCACAATGCAGTGTCTGCGGGACATCTTGGATACAACAAAACATACAGCTCCATCTCTAGGACATACTACTGGCCTCGTATGGGCCAAGATATCAAGAGCTACATTCGATCCTGCTCTTCTTGTCAACGGAACAAGAACCCTTCTGCAGGACCACAAGGTCTCCTACAACCACTGGACATACCACCTCAACGATGGCACACTGTCACAATGGATTTTGCTGGACCATTCCAGGAGTCCAGCCACTTCAATCAAATCACCGTTGTGGTCGACAAACTATCTAAACGAACCCACTTCATTGCTAGCCATACTACCGACAAGGCCACGGACACAGCAAATAGATTCTGGGACAACATAGTCCGACTGCATGGACTTCCATCAACCATAATCTCGGACAGAGATGCCAAATTCACCTCTCTATTCTGGACAACCTTGTTCAGCCGCTTTGGCACCAAGCTTGCCATGTCCTCAGCATACCACCCACAAACAGACGGACAGTCTGAAGTCATGGTCCGCACCGTGAAGGACATGCTTCGACACTTCATAAACCAGAAACAAGACAACTGGGCCATGCAATTACCTGCACTGGAATTTGCTTATAACAGCTCAGTGCACCCGACCACTGGATACACTCCATTTGAATTGGACCTTGGCTATCACCCACGACAACCTCATCAGATCACTGATACCAATGCGATGCAGGTGCAGGGAGTCGAGGAGTTTATTGAGCAGCAGGCAACAACTATGGCTATTGCTCAGGGGCAGTTTCAGGTGGCCCAACAGACTCAGGCTTTGAACTATAACAAGGGACGGAAAAGCCCTCAACCGTTCAAGGAAGGTGACAAAGTACTGCTTAGTACCAAGTACATACACCCTCCCTTCTTACAAACCCCCGGATCAAAGAGGCTGAGGAACCGCTGGGTCGGACCATTTACCATTGTGGCCAAGGTCACTCCCACAACGTACCAACTGGATCTTCCTGAACACATGAAAGCTCACCCTACCATCAACCTGGAGTACTTGAAAGCGTACTATCCACCTATCACACCGGAAGACAAGGCAGATAATCCTTCCCCTATCTTGGTCAACAACCAACCTGAATGGGAAATTGAGCATATTCTTGCACAACGCAAATCAAGAAACAAGATACAATACCTTGTCAAATGGAAAGGTTTTGAGCTCCATGATGCTACCTGGGAGACCGCTCAAAATCTGAGGGGGACCATAGCACTTCACCAGTGGAATTGCCAAAATCTCTGAATTCTCAATTACGCGTTTTCTCTACAACCACTGGCCGGATCCGCGCAAAACTGGCCACATATGAACGAGGAACAATAGAACGTCTTGTACACACAAAGAATTCGACGCTGCCACTCAAACTCGAAACACCATAGCCACATCTAGGGGTTAATGAATCGATCTCAAACAGGGGTTTACTCGGCCTTCCCTGGGTCTTTTGTTCCAAACAAAGACGCGGCCACGAACAATAAACGTAGAACGGCCTGGACCATGTCGAATCAACCCGCTACCGGCTCTACATATCGAGTTATAAAGCAATCTTGGAACAGCCCAAATCGAACCATCCCCTTCTAATCTGTCCATATAGACAGCTTCACCATCGTCCTATATCTCGCCTCTCAGTAACGCTAAACCGGAAATTCCTTCGACACACAATGCTCCACTCGACGACTGCTCTCCGCAACGTTGAAATTCCCCGCTACCACCCGTACAGCACTCGCAACAGCTCGAACAAGATGCTACCCATTTCCAGCCCTCTCCCCTTCATCACAGCCATCACTAGGCACGATTCTGAGAAGAAAGGACGCTCTAAGAAGGACCCTAGGCCTCAATTACGATACAGAGTCCTTATTAAGACGTCTAGGACAGCCCAGGAGACGTCCATGAGGCTCACAGAGGAGGAGATGCGATTCCTAGGGAACAGGAAGGAGATGCTAGAGGGTTATTGGAGGAATCACAGCATCTCTACTTCGTTCCTTCAGTCTCTGCTGGTTGCCAGAGGGCCTGAAGCGAACAAGGGAGCATGGCAGCAGCTTCCAGGAAGCCAGGGAGACATCCTAGAATGGCTGGAAGCGAACCAGCTAGTTCACAGATGGACTCCTGGCATGAAATGGATAGATGCGGCTCTCCTGAAGGCTAGGAACGACGAAAATCCGGAATCTCTTCAGCAATCTCGTGCCCCTCCAAACGACCGTCCTGCTCAATCAAACTTCGCACCGCTACCTCCATTCGTTCAGGAGCTACAGCACGATCTTCCTTTTATTCGAATGCGCTCTATTTCGCCCGTCGCTGGTCCGAGCGGCGTCTACCAAGACAATCCAGAACGCTTGCACGTTCACCAAGCTGCGTTCGAAGGAAATTCGAGGCTATCGCCAGCCGTTCCTGCGCAATCATCCAATCTACCTTTCACTCGAATTCGCTCTATCTCGCCCATCGCTGGTCCGAGCGGTACCATTCAAGACGGTTTAGGGCTGTCGCACGACGACACGCTCACACTCGAAGGAATTTTGGCGTTACCTCCAACGGCCAACCCAGCAGACAACATCCTAAATGACCTCTACCCTGCTACCTTCAGCCCCCTCATGGACGAATTTAGCCCTTCTCAATTCGCCTATTACTCGCCCTTCATTAACGGCAGCCCGGAAATTCAAGCGAGGGTCGACGAGGTACTCGGAAACATGCCGGAAGACACTTTCGATAGGGCTGCAGCGCGTAGGGTTCGCGAGATATGCCCCATTCGATTTTACAGGGATTTATCCCCTATGTTGACTGTCAAATTGTAGTTATTCTATTTTCTGCCTGGTAGCTCTGGGACAGAGCTTCGAAATAGGTGCCGGGTGATGTAAAGATGCGACTGTGATCACACATTTGCGACCACAAATCACATATTGCAACTCCTGTCACACTATTGCGACTGGCAGTCACAATTTGCGACTAGCAGTCACAATTTGCGTCTGAGTCACACTTTCGCGACTAGCAGTCACAATTTGCGACTACTCTGGTCACAACTCTTGTACCCACACCACTAGACAATTCATGTATATATAGGAGTTCCCAAAAGGAGGAATGGGTCATCCCTTTTCTCTTTTATGAGGACTCAGACCTCTTATCACTAGATTCATTCCCATTACCTTTACCTTTCACTTCATCCCTTTCACCCTTTCCCTTTCCACCTTCACCTCTTCAACATCAACAAGGACTAGCTACCCTTGTTGCATAACAAGCAAAGGATATCAAGAATCACCAAATAGGACAGTGTTGAGACAACTGCGACGTATCCGGTTATAAATTCAGTTGTGAGATTTGCTCCTCTCCCACATAAGAGTCGGCTTACTTCACAATCAGTCCTTGTCTATTGGCTGCTTTACTCGCTACTCACTTTGTCTATACAAATCATCGCAAACAGGCAGCCACGAGACACCCCGGGAAAGCAAGCACTGTTGATCAACATTATCAGCTGTTGAGTTGAGCTAGCTGTCGTTTCTTGCAGATCCAGACTCACCTTGACAGTTTCCTTGGATATCAGATGTTCTAGCGCTTGCTGCTGGTCCTCTTACACAATCCCGGGCAACCCAGTAGTTGTCTGCCTTGAGAAGAATGGCAGGTAGGAGACGCAACCAAGGATGAGGTGTTACGGTCGGGCCTAGTGTACCAAAAGGCTAGCCTAGGTGGAAAGCGTCAGTGGTAATTGTGCTAAGGCAGAGATACTCAACGGGAAGTGCTTGGTGCGGAATCTGCTTGCTGACCGTGAAGGGCTTGACGAGAGCTCCAGTGTCGAGTAGTGAGAGGTGGTTGGGTGGCGGAGGTGTTAGGGATGTAACATATGATAATTCTTCTTGGGAAAGAAGAGAGAACATGAAGGGGAGTAGTACAAACAGGCTGAACTGACCAGCTATATATGCTAGTTGAGATAGGGAACGTAGACCTAGTATCACAATGTGTAATTACATTGTGTGTTCACATTGTGTGGTATTTGTTGTGGATTGAAGGGTAGCAAGGGAAGAGACAGCACATTGTGTGCTGTACATTGTGTCGGGGACAATGTGAGTGACCCATTGTGTTGGGTACAGTGTAGCCAGGTAGTGGCATCAGTAGGTGGGAGGTGGAGAGGAGTACATTGTTTTTGGGACGATGTACCTGGTATGTTGTAGGCTTTACGTTGTAGGCTGTTCATTGTAGGATGTATGTTGTGCAGAGGCCGGGTTAGGTCAGTCCGTAATACCCCGCAGGTTGGCTGCTGAGCCTTATACCAGCGACCTGTGGTCTCCCCGGGATTTGCCTAGGGTGACTCACCCAGGGTCGTATGCAGTTTGAATGAGTGTGATGGCACAAGAACCACATAAGACAAGAGTGATTGTAGTAGTTGAACATCACCTATCATGGTATACATGTACCTGCTCTGCCAAAGTTGCTGGGGTAATACCCGCTTGGAAATGCGCCTAGGCGTACCGCAGATGGCTATAACACACGCAACCCGTACCACAGCAGACAGACTCTGTGCAGGCTAGACTATTTCTGCATCATTGATGGGCATCATAACATCTCTTATAAAACACAACAGGAGTTGGAGGAGATATTTGGAGAGGAGGACGCGATGTTGCACATGCAGAGGAAATATTAGGGAGGAGGACTAACAGTCTACGCGGGGCTAGGTCTAAGGGGTATGGTGTAATAATGGATGAAGTATATACATACAATGAGCCTATTATAATAAGCATCTATGGGAGATGTAAAAGTAGACCCCTGTGGGGATGTTGAGAGGTGTCGCCAAAGGGACCTCAGAGGGGGTCTCTTGCGGGAGTAGTGACGCGTCAAGTGACGGCTATAACAGGAAATGGGCAAAAGGTAGCATCAACCAGAGAACCTCTTGAGGTACTTGAAGAAGCAGGGCCTTGGAGCAGACGCTGGGGTCATGAGTGTCTTTGATGACAATGAGATCGATGGTATCAGGTGGTAAATGGTGTACAAGAGAATGGACATAGGATAGGACGGATGATGAGGAGGAAAATTTGATGTGATGGAAGCTATGAGACAGAGATAGGATACTGGAGCAACATTAATCGAAATGAGAGTCGTCAAATCGTGTGGCATGGTGGTCAGTACTCACCATGAGTTGCCTGGAGCGTCTGGACGCCATAGCTCTGACGGTTCAGGAGCTCCGCCTGTTCACCTGTTGTCCTTAAGCAGCCCCCCTCGGAAAAAGAGATCGGCATAGTCTCCCCCCTGCAGAGCCACAGATCGCTCATGTTGCCCCCAAACTATGCAGCAGCCTTCCCTGGTATCCATATGCAAGATTAGTCAAAGGAAGCGGTTTGGGGATAGGTGTTATAGTGACATGTGCGTACGTCGGACTTGAGCCGTATCAACTCCGGGGGAGTTGTTCAAGGAGCATATGGTATTGTAGTACTTCCTAGTCTATATAGTCTTTCATCTATACATTGAGCCGGTCTTCCCTGACGCCTTCTCGACGCCTGAAAGTAGGTCTGAAGCTTTAGGGGATGCATATAGTGTTTAGAGTCAGTGAAGGCTCAAAATCAAAGTCAGAGATTTCAGCTATGGAATTGGCAGGTTTATAAGGGTAGAATTGTGGTGTGACGTTGCAGAAGACTAGTTGAGATGCCCATGATGATATCTACGGCGTCCCTGCATGAGATAAGCAGCCTGGCTAGCTCTACTGGCCTACTACTGCTGAGGAAGCATATACTGGTACCGGAAAATTCTAAGGATTGACTACACTGTGGAGCCATGAGAAGAGGCATAGAGACATTGTGCTTCGGCAGGACTGATCCCCATACACGTAGCCAACATCCTGCCAATGAGCTTGATGCTATCTGCCCCCCCTGAGGTGTACATCCACAGATATATGAAACACAAAAAAACAGAAAAATAGCTGTTTGGATTGGTGTTCCAGTACTGCTTCCACATGTTGATGACTAATCATCACATGCTGATTTGCAACAAAGCCTAGATAGCACTACATGAGACTAGAAGATACCGGTAGAGTAGTGATTGTAATAATAGATGTCTGAATGTACTAGTTAGACGCCTTCAGGCACATCACTATATAGGTCTCCAAGAGGGTCTCTGAGAGGATCTCCAAATAGACCTCTGTATGAGGTGAAAACCTACACCCCGCATAAGTATGGCATGTGTACCGTGAATGCCTATAATAAAAGAGGTGTTCAAGGTGATCAAACAACAGACACAAGAGGGTTGCAAGAACCAGGACATTCTTGCAGTTGATCTTTAGTCGTGTTCTATCTGGGAAGCGGTGGCCAAGGCGGAGGAAGAGGAACCAGAGTCCTTGTCTGCCCTCAGGAAGCCTCGAAATGAGACCAGAACAAAAAGGCATCAACACCGTCTCACTTTTGACAGTCACGGGGAGGTTAGAGCCCTGGATCCAATTGTCACTTGGTGACATTGCCAGATTGCTTCGCAGCCTCGGAAAGCTCCTTCCCCTCTTCATAAAGCCCATCAGTTCCCTTGTCGAGCTCCTCCATCTGGTTTTGCCACAACTCCACCTTTTCCTTCTTCTCAGCCAAATCCCGCGTCTTGGCTGCTGCTGCCAACATGTTGCTGGCCAACCCTGCTTTCCTTGACCAAGCCCTCATAGGCAAATCCGCCTTCCTCAAGTCAAAACACCTCCTGCAGGATGTTGAAGATTGGCATGCTATGACATCATAGATGATGCTCAAAGTTGTAATCTCAAGCACAAAGGGTCAACATGTGACCAGGATCACATGTTGTGACTGGAGACGCACGGATGTGACTGGAGTCACACTTATGCAACCACAGACGCACTTATGCGACTGGAGTCGCATTTTGGTGACATCATTTGTGACTGGAGTCACAAATACGCGACCAGAGACGCAGTATACGTCTGGAGACGCAATTATGCGACTGCTCTAGTCGCAAGTCTACTGGGGGACATGCTCATCAGAATAGCATATATAGCAGACCATTTGGGTCTCATTTCTCTTTCCCTTTTCATGTTCTACTCTACTTTTATGCAAGCAACCAGATACATAGTCATTCAGACAAGAGATAGCATCAGTCAATACCATCAAAGGAACAACTACACCATCAGCTTAGGCTGATATCACAACACAGGAGGCCCCCATTCATGCCTTCCTCGATTAAGTGCCAACCGATGCCTTCACCTTGGTTGAAGACAGACATCTCCACCAGGACACCTCAAACGACACCAAAAGGTTTCTCCATTAAGCCCCAATGCACAGCGACACCTTCCTCAAATGCAAACATCCCCTTGAGGAAGCCTCAATCGAGCACCTCTGCCAACGTAGATATCTCTCCAACTTTACCCATGCCGCCACCTCTTCTTTGCAAGAATAGCTGCGCCTGGTAGACATTCTCCTCTCAGATATCATTGGAGATCATGAACAGTGGTTCCCACACTTCCTTAGGCCACATCTCTATCATGTGTATGCCAAGACCAGGTTTAGCAGCAAACTCAGCTGAACTGAAGCTTGGAGTATCAGCAGCTGGGACAGCCAACATGATTGCTTGTGCAGTTTCCAGCTAATTGGACTTGCTGGACACATCGGCCGGGAGGGCTTTGGCATCTGCGACAAGAGCACAACATTCTCTGGACTGACGCTACCATTGACGGCAAGCATAGAGGACGTCTGTGGTGGTGCTTGTGTTCATAAATTGAAGTTTATCACGCAGGCAGCCAGCAAACTTAGCATTTTCCTCACCACTATTCTTAGAGGGATGGAAGAAGACCGGACTGTAAAGGGTTTTTCTAAAGCTGAGAGGAACTTGATGTGCCAGAAAAAATTGTCCCCAACAATGACCTACAAGCATTGGCAATCCAGTTATGGTGAATGGTTCATTGATTGACCCCTAATAAAGTGGTCCGTCTGCAGGCCAATACCACTGTGAACAGCCCAAGTTTCCCCACACGTCCAAGAGACGGCTGGATCCAATCAACTTCAGCCTCAATGATATTAGCAAATATTGTTGACAACTGCGTGACATCATCATCAATAACTTCAACAGTCATCCGGTACTGCCGGGATATACTGGAGGAAGCGTATAGGTGTCTTATTGGAGAGACACCCTTTACAATCTGCAGCACTCTGAAAGACCCCAAGGGACATCCTGGACAACGAAACCTTCAGATTGCAGAATATATCTGCATAGAGAGGCTCAGTTTTATGACAAATTGGAATAACTGTGGATCAAAATATGCATCGCATTGGCAAGAGCGGTCAGGCAGAGGCAAATGTAGAGAAGCCTGCCAAAAAGTAAGTCACTGCAAAGTATTGCAGCCATTTGGAGATGCCCTGGGACCTAGTGGTTAACAAAACAATTCTTTCCGCTCCCATGATCTGTTATGAACCCAAGAATTTCCTCTATCTGTGACGTGTGACCTTTTGCTTCTAAAACAGTCCAACACAATATCTTATCCTACCGTTATCACCAGTCTCTCTTGAGGTAGAATCAGACAAGGATAGCTAGTCCTAGTTGAAATGTATTGAGAGTTTATTCAAGGTTGTAGAGAGTGAGAGGAATTCAGAGATGTCCTTTCTTCCTTTCAACATTCTCTTTTGGCCTCATATTATATATATAAAAGAAAATGAAAAAGACAAGTTGTATGGAGACAACCTGCGCACCTGTAGTCCTCTAGGAGTCTAACCAAGCGAGAACTGAATATCGATGGCGGCGCAGGTGTCGTTGGGGCAGCAACATGGACGAGGTGATTCTTAGTGGTGTCAAAGCAATTCTTCCCAAATCACCTATCTCATAGGCGAAAGAAGCTAGTGAACATATATATGTATATATATATATATATATATACCTATATATATCATAGGCAAAAGAAGCTAGTGATGAGATAGGCAATCTAGGTGTGAGGGAGCCACTTGTCCACTTAGCAGCCTAGCGGTTAGGGCTGTGTGTGGTCCCAACGTCGCCTGCAGCGCTGTCAATATTCAGGGGGAAAAGGTAATTCCCGCTGACAAGATCGAACACTGGTCATGAAGTGCACTTTGTCTTTTCCGTCCTTTGTTGTATATATAATGAGACACTACATATTCAAGTCTAATACTACAAGTGCCAATGTACGAGCTCCAATCTCCAATTTCCGGAGTCCAATGACTGTTGTACAAGTACCGATGTATGAGTACTGATGAAGAGTTCCAATGTCCAAGTTCCAATGTTGAAGTCCCATTCTCCAATGTATGATGTACAAGTCTTGACTAAATCCTTTGGCAGATTACTACAGTGTCCTAGCATCCATCTGTGGAAGGCGTTTCAGGAGATGGTCCAACGGCTTGCTGATCTTCTGTCTCAATCACGAAGCAAGAAGCAAAAAGGAAGCAAAACGTACTGGACATTCTAGCAAGTGCTAGAAGGATTGGATTTGAAATAGATCACCAAACAACCAAACTTGTTTGACCACCAGACAACCAAACTTATTCAACTACCGATATTATTTGATGTTGCCACCAGTTGCCCTTTCCCAGAAAAGTATGTATAGCAGGCCATTTTGGTTTGATTTCTTTTTTCCCTCTCATGCACTATTTTACTTTTTTATGCAAGCAACCAGATGAAGTCATTCATACAAGAGATAGTATCAATCAATACCATCAAGGGAACAGCTACACCATCAGCTTAGGCTGATATCACAACAGACTTGCTGGCAAGACTTATACAATTGCCATTGCCAACCAATAGTCTGTTTCGTTCTCATTCACACAGTTTTGTACATCTCTTTTACACACATTGTGGGCGCCATGAAATTTTCCAGTTGGCCAAAAAGTCATGGATTCATGGTGAATATTAAAGCTTATTCTGAAAGAAGAGAATCAAAGCTTTGGGAGAAGATATTGCCCTTCTCAAGGAACTTCAGCTGAATAACCATTTTGAACTGAAGATGGACAGCGGCATCAAAACCATCAAACTTGCTGATCGGACAGGGAAGCTTGCGGAATACCAGACTCCTGTCAACAGAGGCCTAGCAAAACGACCTACATTTGATGAGACAAGTGCTATGATAGGCAAGGAAATTGTTGCCATTGGGACAGACAAGTCAAAGTAGCGGGAGCAGGCAAAGGTGGGCTGGACTCATAGTCTTGTCTTCCAAAAACGTTGCTAGGATACTGACATAGAGAGCTTCTCAGGAGATGAATACTATCTTGAGAGAAAAACAGAGAGAGGGGAAGTGTGAGGTTACGTAGGTCAGCCGCCGGCAGCCTTCCTACATTTCTAAGTCCCAGGTTCTCGCCATTGGGGAGGTGAGTCCGCCGGGGCACTGCCCAGGACTGGGCCGCTGGATGAGTGAGCAGGAGAGAGACAAAAGTAGGAGTGTGTCACAGCTGTTGTGATATCAGCCTAAGCTGATGGTGTAGTTGTTCCTTTGATAGTGTTGACTGTTGCTATCTCTTGTGTGAGTGACTATGTATCTGGTTGCTTGCATAAAAGTAAAGTAGTACATGAGAGGGGAAAGAGAAATGAGACCCAAATGGCCTGCTATATATACTTTTCTGAGAAGGGGCAAATGGTGGCAAAAGTGGTGGCAAATGGGCTGAGTCATAACTTTTCCAAAGACCAATTGTGAACTGTTTACCATTCAACCGTGATTACGTATCCGATCACGTCTTGAGGCTGTTTTGCTTTTGGTGGCAATAATCTCTCAGATTTGCCAACCAATGGCAAAAGTCCCTCAGATTTGCCACCCAATGGCATCAATGCCTCAGTGGTAAAACCATTCCTTCTAGCATGTTCCAAGCTTTTGCTTCCACTTTTGCTTCCATTTTGCTTCCATTTTGCTTCCACTTTGCTTCCTGCTTTGTGGTTGAGATTGCTTCCACATGTTGATGACTAATCATCACATGCTGATTTGCAACAACGGCGGAGGTTGCCAAGGGCGTTCTTCAATTGTAGGGTCTGAGGTTCTCAGTGAATTGCAGGTAGTTAGGAGATGGAGTGGGCTTGAATAGGGATATGAAACCGGAGATAGATGTATGGATAAGGAAGCGCAGTCACTCAGCACTAAGGCAAGTTTGGTTCAGTGCAAGCAGTGTGTTGCAAGGTACTTAGCAATGTCACGTTTTTGTAACCTCTTTGCAATATGTCATGAAGATGTTCTGGACAAGTCAGGTAGGCTTATAGTCAATGCAATATTGGAACTTGACTTTTCACTACTACAGAACATCTACCGAGTATGGTCAAGTTTGACTAAGTATATATATTTGAGAGTATGGAGGGTCCAGAACAATGGCAAAAAGTAGAGTCTGAATTGAAATGGCTGTACAAGGGTGGATGTGTGCTCCCGAATCAGATTGGGTAATCAAACCGAATTTGGTTGTCAAGTCAAGTCTGTTTCTCCATTGTTCCGGATGCATTGATGTATGACACACAGCACATGGAGGATCCTACCGAAGTATATACATATACAGAGGGCGGAAAGGCAAGGACACAAGGGAGGAAACCCCATTGGCCCTTCAACTAGACTTAGTATCGAGTTATCAAAATACATTTAGTATCAGACCCCAAACGAAATACAATTAGTATTGGACCCAGGAATCAACATGACGGACAGCGCCTCTAACAACAGCGTGAGAAAGCATCAACCTGCGCTTGGCCTGCGTTTGGACTTTGGCTCGCAGCCTTGCCCTCTGTGCTTCGATTCACTCCTGGCTTGCTCTCTGGATCATGGTCAAGATGTAAAGCTAGTCTCCCGCTTCTCGCAACCTTCTGACATCACCATTCGACTTGAACCTGAACTCGAACTTGAACTGAACCCAGACCGAGAAGAATTCGCATCATGGCTGGACGTCGATCAGCTACCCCTCAAGGATGACATTCTCCTCATGTACGGTCTTCGATCGCCTCCGGTCATTGATATTATCCAACTTGAAGACGATCCAACACTCCCCATCCTTGTTTGCGCACCCTGCGCCGTGGTGACCGTTAATCTCCAACCCTGCCTAGGCACCGTTGTAGTCATTGTTTCTCTCCACATTGCTATGCTCTCTCCCCTTGCTCTGACAACATTGGCTGCAGGATAGAGGTATCTCATTTGGTAGAGGAAGGAGGCTTGCTGCGGACCGGTATCTAGCTGGGGTAGGCTCATTTGCTCCCCTTTGTATTGCGGGACGAACAGCAGCTGACAATTCACCTATGAAACGTAGCGACAGTATCATGTTGGGATTCTTAAGGAGAAACTGGCTCATATGGGGATCATTGTATGCGGGGCCCCAAGCAAAATCCAACGACTGATCAGGGGAGGCCCAATTTCACTGGTTGCGATCTTCCTTCACTCGATCGATGACGATGATCTTGGCTCAGGAAACCTATCCCTAGAGGAGGATTTGTTGCAGTTGAACTGGTCGGCTTTTACTCCGCCGGCCCACATTTCAGCAGCCCCCCTCTCACGTTTGCTTGTCTCTCGCTTCAATATTGTGCAAACAGACGTCAAATCTGTTGTTGCCGCTGCCTCAACCCCTATCCCAAACCAGTATGTCACGCATTGGTCTCTCCTCTCTTGCTCAGCTAACGTCGTCTCTCACCTTACATCGATGGGAACAACGATGACAACAACAACGCCGCCATCAAACCCCCTGTTGCGATCAGTTACGTCACACATAGTTTTCTTTCCCCCACTAGCTTGGCTAGACGTTCATTTGCCATCAACGTCAGCAATGTTACGGCGCAGGTCGCTAATTGGAGATAGGTCCTAAGTTGTATGACGTAGGGTGCTTAAGGCAAATTGCAGGCAGTTGGGAGAATGTTGCAAGTTTGCTTGGATGGAGCAGGTTTGGTTCAGGGATATGACTCCAGAGATATAAGGATAAGGAAGGTGATCACTTGGTGTGAGGTACCGGATTTGGTCTAAGGTAAAGCGATGAAGTGTATCTACCAAGCAACATCCTTGAGTTTGTAACCTCTCCGCAACACGTCTTGAAGATGTTGTAACAAGTCAGATAGGCGTGTATTGAATGTGATATTGGAACTTGACCTATTACTATTACAAAGCGTCCTTTATCAGATTTGGTCAAGTTCCTCTAGCTATTTATACGGATACAAGACTGGCGAGCACTGAAAAGACCCAAGAACAAAAGACGGCGAGAGATGGCAAAACTGGAAGAGTGAGATGGCAAACAGACAAATCCTGTCGAGAGCAACTGGATTCAGTAGAGGAGGCGAGTTTGAGTTTGTATTTGTCCCTAGGTACGTCGAGTAAGGTTGCTGGGGTACTGAGTAATGTTGTTGGGTACCTGAAGTTCCTGGGACCTGTTTGTGATATGCGTCAGGAAGGTAGTTTTGTTTCGGTGAATGGTGAAGGCGAATGGTAGGGGCGACCAAATCTGCTCCAAGGGAATTGGGTTGGCCTTGTCGAGCCGGACTTAGGTATATGCTGATGTCCATGGAACAAGCCTGTGTGTTGGTAGTTGACTCATGTGATGATCCCGTAACACCCACACTATTCAGGGAATATGTACACTATCAGCTTGGGCTGATATAATAACACCCCTTGATAACATGAACCATGTTGTGGAGAAGGCCAGCTACTCATGCTGACCTGATAACTTGTCATGCAGCATTCTGAGGAAACATTTGAAGAAACCTCTTATGCAGAACCTTTCAAGAAACTGTATCACTAGTGTCCCTTAGTAAAGCAAATACCTCAGCTATTCTCTATAGGACTAATGTTTCGATTGGGATGTACTTGTGATGAGCTTGGCTTAATGTAGGAGTCCATGCCCTTCTATTCTCTGCTCCAGCTGCTGGTTCCCTGATCTCTACTTTAGCCGTAGACCTTGGTTACATCTTGATCGACCTAGGTCCACACCCCTTGAGCAGATCATATGCTCCCTCACAGATCTCTTCAACACTGGCGCTGTTGTTGGTGATTGGCACAACCATCTGAACAATCTGTTCTTCATATTCAACATCCTTTACCAAGATGATTCTAAGGAAATTACAAGTAATAGCGCACATAGTCATCATGGGGTCGGTGATTACTAGTGGGTTAACAATTTGAGGGAGCTCATGTAAAGATGCGACTGTGATCACACATTTGCGACCACAAATCACATATTGCAACTCCTGTCACACTATTGCGACTAGCAGTCACAAATTGCGACTGGCAGTCACAATCTGCGTCTGAGTCACACTTTTGCGACGAGCAGTCACAATTTGCGACTACTCTGGTCACAACTCTTGTACCCACACCACTAGACAATTCATGTATATATAGGAGTCCCCAAAAGGAGGAATGGGTCATCCCTTTTCTCTTTTATGAGGACTCAGACCTCTGATCACTAGATTCATTCCCATTACCTTTACCTTTCACTTCACCCCTTTCACCCTTTCCCTTTCCACCTTCACCTCTCCAACATCAACAAGGACTAGCTACCCTTGTTGCATAACAAGCAAAGGATATCAAGAATCACCAAATAGGATAGTGTTGAGACAACTGCGACGTATCCGGTTATAAATTCAGTTGTGAGATTCGCTCCTCTCCCACATAAGAGTCGGCTTACTTCACAGCTCAGGATTGATGTGCTAAGTACATACATGTCCATTCATCTGAGAAGGAGCGACAAGGGTAGGAAATTGCTGGAAAGGCACACCGTCAGCCTTGTCACATAGGCTGAGTTTTACTAAACTGTGGATACTAAGCAAGGCATGAGGGTGATATGGCTGAAGATGGCTCAGCAGCAGCAATGCAACAGTACTTCCTTGACTTACACAGATGTCTCTGAATCCTATGCTCTGGACAGTGTCTGACAATCTGCATGTGCAAAACTGTGTAATCCCTAGTAATTAGCTTTGAATCAGCAGAACTACTACAAGTTATGGCTCACCTGTTATCACTGGTAATTAGCTAGAGAACACAGATGTCAAGTAGTCTATGGGAGTATGAGTGATAGGAAGGTGATTATCTAGATTAGGCAAATAGTGGCCAGTCACATTCACGTTGAGTCACATGACAAACTGAACAGAACTGAAGAGTTATCGATACTGACAATACAGTTAGTTGGAACATGACGGAAGTGATTGCCAATCACCATTATAATTTGCTGATCTGATGAAGGATTGTCCACATTTGTCTCCTCTGTGCCTGAAAACTACCCATACCAAACATGACCAGTTGCCTGGCAGTTGCGCTGTACTATTGTGGTATTCCACTACACAGCCGCTAGTGCAGCTTGGTGCGGCTTGGTACTCATTTACCAAGCCTTTCAGTTGAATGATCCGTCAACTGCACCCTGTTGCCTCTCAGCCAGACATTTCAGAATTGGCTCCCATGAAAAGAGAGCGGGGGGGGGGCTTCATGCTCAAGATCACCTTCAATACCTTTTAGTGCACCATACTGGCAAAGCTCACAGCTTCCCCTTCTTGGCCAGATCAATGTATGGGAGGGCAAACATGTTATTGGATCTAGGCTTGCATTCCGCTGCACATCTCTACCGCTATGAAATATTTGTCAGAATTTCTCAAGTGGAGGCAAAGAACAGGAGCTTGACATGTCTGTGACCCATGGCAAGGACAAGGCTAGGGTCGACAGCGTCTTGTTCATTGAGCCAAGAGAATCCAAGCCAAAGAAAGGTGCCAATTGGGTTTTCAAAGTTAGTGGTCTTTCTATGACCTGGGTCAACTTTGAGCATGGGTTTGAAGGCCATAGATGACTTGGTGTTAGGTTGCAGGCAGCCTGAGGACTGTCCAGGACTTGCTTAGGGCAAGAGGTAGATGAATGAATGTGATAGCAGATGGACTACATCATACAAGAGTGATCCATAGTAGCTAAACATTACCTATTGTGTCATACAAGTTCCTGCTGTGCTGAAATTGCTGACAGGATACCCGCTTGGTAACATGCCTAGTTGTACTGCTGCTGACAGGATACCTGCTTGGTAGCATGCCTAGTCGTACCACGGATGGCTATAACACTTGGGCCTTGGCTCAGATTTGGCTTCCAGTGAAGTCTTCCATGCTACCCTGTATGTGATTTACCACGGCACACCCATAGGTGCATCTATCATTCAGACCACATGGCAAGCTTAGCAGTCGCATATTTATGCCAAACTTGCTGCACAGCCCTCATGCATTCCATTGGCCCTGCCCCGTATCAAAATGTTACTTGGCCGCAGGCTCGACAAGCATGCGCTTTGCAATGCATAATCAGGCTTCTCGGCGTCTTGCTATACCTAATACGGTCATCATGGATGTACCCGACGATAACCCAAGAGATACTATCGTCCGGGCCGATCTCATTAGCAGGCTTGTCGCTTAGTCCGGCGCGAATTGACCGTCACGGACACGCTTGCCTGAGCGGAGTCCGGGACACCAGATACATCGCTTCACAGGATCACAGGGGTACAGGTGCGCCTACTCGCGCTGTGTCTGTGAGGGTTCTCCGTTCCATCACACACGAGTCGCAAAGAATGCCTGTCGGGAGGTGATCTCCTGGTTGTAGGCCCTGTTTGACGAAACGCTAAGACATACACATGGCGATGTATACTAGGTTGTTCCAATCGAATCGCAATGTTCCCTCCATCATGTTTTACACTTGTTTATCGAAATCACAGCGAAGAGCTTCTCGGATTCGTATCTACCTAAAACGAGCTGCGTGACTGGATGTACATATGTCGGTATCACTTGTGATTCCGTACGTCAGGTGTGTCCCTTACGACCCAATGAAGAGTGCGGAAGAGACGTCCGAAAGAACCAAAGAAGGATAGCGGCGATCGAATAGATCGCTCGGTCTCCAGATACGAGACCCCGGGAAGTATAGGTCGGCGCGAAAGCACTCTGGCGACTTGGTCCCAAGCCGACAGGATCGACATGCAGGACCAGAAACTGAGCGTGTCCGACTAGCTTGTAACGAGGGGGTCCCTGCTCTGTTGGTTTAAATTAGATGAAGAAGAAGAGGGACAAGATCGCCGGCGCAAGGGTTGTTGATGATAGTTTCAAACAGCGTCGAAAAAAGTTGTCGAAGGGTTTCCGTCAGTCACCATCTATGGCTATCAAAGAAACCCGGTAGTTTGGGGAGCTGATGACGTGTTTTATTCGCTGCATCGCGATCAACCGAAACCCGGGGGTTCCCGAGCTTCGTCATCTCTCGAGGTTTCAAGATCGACGCTCAATAATCTTCAATCGCTCAATCGAGTCGTCTTTCCGACTCATTCGTTCAATCTCATAACAGCGCTTTAGCCTATTAACAGATCACTAGAGCCCCAACACGGACCAATCTGCCCAAATTGTCAAGATGACGGAAGAGATCCCGCTCGATATCGACGGATACGCATCAGAATACACCGGTAGGCCTATTTTGGCATATGCAGATTCTGAGCGATGTGTATCTGACGAGGTAATTCGATTCGATCCAGGTCGTACCGCCATCACCAGGCTATTGGCGGTCTCCAAGTACGATAGCGTAGCAGGTTCACGTCTACGTGCACTCCTGCTCGCCATCCGTCAAGTCAAGGCGGTCACGTTGGATTACGAGCTGTACGGCACCCTATTGGAAGAGCTCAGGCCATATCGGACACAGAATGTCGGCGAAGCAGAAACTGGCACTTTACCTCGAACTCTCAATGATATCGATGTACTCGAGGGTATGGCAGATCTCGAGGCAGAGGTGGCGGGTAGGATCGACGAAGCTTGGCTTGCTACCACCGCTCAGCAAGTCAAGAAGCAGGACGACAAGCTCGAGGCCGAGATGCGAAACTACTCCGTCAATCTGATCAAGGAGAGCATTCGAGTAAGTATTCTGGACTGATCTTTGAGAATGATGATCCTGACGCACCCTTTCGTATGCGATTCCAGCTCACTCACCACGCACAAGCTACCCATGCAAGGGCTCACGGGGACATGGAAGCGGCTCTCAAATCGTACGCGCAGACGAAAGATTTCAACTCGAGCGCACGGCACGACCTGGAAAGTAGTCTCGGCACGATCGAGGTGAGCCGAAACATTCCTCTCTCTTGGCTTCGCAAGGGAAACCGCTGAACACGCCCCATTGACCCTATTCCCTTTTGCCTTAGGTTTCGCTCGATATCGGAGCATTTGCGCACACCCTTCCAGCCGTAGCACGAGCCGAGTACGCGATCAACCGGCTCATCACCAACTCGACTTCTATGGCCGCAGGCGGGGTTCAGATTTCGTCATCCAGAGATCACCCGGCGATTATCATGACAGGCGCGCAGCAACGGGAGAATGAGAGGATCACGGGAGAGATGAAGGAGATGAGCGCCATCACCGATACCAAGTTGCGCGTCGCTCGAGGGATCGTCAAGGTGGGTCAAGGGTCTAGCCAGTGGGCCAGTGCGGCCCGGGAGTTTGGTGGAATTTCGGGCAAGCTGGAGGACTGGGAAGGCACGGTCAGTATGACATACAAACTCTCTTGCGCGCACCAGGTGTCTGAGCACTGAATTACGCTGCGTTCGCCTCAGGTCGTGGCCTCGGGAGATATAGCGGTCTACGCCACTTTGACTAGTCTGGCGACCTGCAACCGGTCGACGATCAAGACCCTTCTGCTGGACAACATCCAGATGAGGTACTTCATGGACTATGGTAGCGCTGCCTATACTCGAGAACTCGTCGACTGTTATATGCACGCGCGTTACCAAAGGCTGCTCGAGATCTTACGTGAACGCAAAGTCAGTGAAACCAAAGCAGAGGCTTCCCCGATGACCTCAAGCTGAACTCGCCCTGAAATCAGCCTCGTCACTTGATCGATCCTTTCTTGAGACCGGTCATTGCCGCTCTAGAGGATCACATCCTGCAAAACGCTCTCGTACAATACTTCCAACCCTACAACAGCGCCAGCTTTTCGCGAATGCTTGCGTCGTTTGGCCAGGAAGACGAGAACAGCCGCAATGATCTTGCAGGCAAGCTCGCGATGCTCATCAAGACAGGCCGTCTCCAAGCGAGATTGGATTTGGTGGAGATGGTAAGCTGTCTAGAGACGGCGGATTGGTCACATGACGGCTAACGAGCGACATTGACAGGCCATGCATGCGACCAAGCCTGATCCTCGACAGTCTCTGTACACCGAAGCGCTTGCAACCGGTCAGAAGGTTCAGTCGGCCAGCCGCAAAGCGATGCTTCACATGCAATTGTGAGTTCATCGTCATAGCTTTCTTCATTACGTGGCTGCGACTTATCAGTAACTGTGCTGTAGGGTCGAGTCGGGATTGTCTCTGGATGGTAACAAGGGCCAAGCCAAGAAGAAACCAGGCAAAAAGCGAGGAGGTCAACAAAATTGACCGGGAATGGACGACAGGGCGGAAAAATAACGAGCTTTAACGAATGACGATCACCACGTCTGATGGTCTTCTGTCTCTCCACTACGTGAACATGTGCAATGATCAATGTCGGACCGAGAATGTACAACATGTAAACCAGCGCCGGCAGATATGCCGATATGATACGATACAACCACATGACCCTGAAATATCTGACCTCGATGCTGCGCTTCGGGACCACTTCTACTCGAACCGCTTCCAAGCATGCTTTTCGTACTCTTTCGTACGACCGGTATGCCTCTTTGGCCTGATGGAAAAGAGACATGAAGCACAAGGTCAGCCCTTTACCGACTCGTCCCTTTGCTCGTACAGCCAGTACGTACAGTTGTCTGACCCGCGGTTCCAGCAACGTCCGGCTTTGCAAAGCTCGGAAACGATCCCGGAAGAGGTTTCCTTCGGGCTACGGCCGATATCAGCGATGAAGGTCCTATATTCGTGCGAACGAAGAAGCTGCTCACCTTGACTTCGCGCATGTTCTCGCTGAGGTCCTCTCCGAGCTGGACGTCGACGTTGCCAGACAAGACCTTGTGCTTTCCGATCTTCTCCCCGCCCTGGTATCCCACGAGCTGCTTGGCTTCCAACGCAGCTCGACGTGCCGCTAGCACTTCCTTGCGCGATGTCAAGGTGTTTTCGACCTTTTTCTGGAGGTTGGCCAGCGTCTGCATCGCTTTCTTTTGTGCTTGGACCGTAGCGGCTTGTTTAGCGATGCGTCGCTATAAAGAAAACCCTCATTCAAATATCAGCTCAGGGCGTCAGAAACGGTCATGCAAGCACACCCAGACTGACCTCTTCGATTCTTCGCTTCGCCTTGTTCCGATCGGCCTGGGTCTTTCTCTTGGTCGTCTTGCTAGCTTGCGAGACCTCGAACTCGACATCCTCAATCTCCAGACCCGCACTCTCCGCCATGGCTTCGGGATCTCCGGAAGCGACCAGCATCCCGCCCGAGAGCTCGGTACCGTTGATCTTGGCCATCTCTCGCCTGTTCTCGAGGACCTTTTTGTACCTCTCGACCTTGTCCTGCGCCTCTTGCTCCTTTCTCATCGTTTCGACCTCTTGCCTGACGGCCTCGTCGATGAGAGCCTGATGGGCTTCGAGACGAGGGTTGTATGACGTTCCGGCATTGGGGATGGGTACCGATTTCGTCTGAGCGGTTGCGCTCTGTACCTGTCGCTGCTGTTGAAGCGTGGTAGGCACATTGGGTAAGGGCATCTCCTTCAGGTTTTCCTCCCATTTGCCCTTGATTGCTGCTAATCGCTCGGCCTCGAGTTCCCGCTCGGTCCAGACGTCCCGCAAATCCTCCTGCTTCTGCTTGGCGACGATCGCAGAACCCATGCCCGAGCCATCGGCGCCGACCTGACCCTTTCTGGCTATCCGGAGGAGTCGCTCCTTGTCCGCAGCGGTAACCTTGGGCTTGTAGGGTTTGCTGGCGGCGTGAACCGGTTTTGACGTGAGCGCTGGTACGGCCGAACGTTTCTGAAGGATTTCGAGGGATCTCAAAGTGCGAGGCTTCTTGATTCGCTTGGCGACTAGAATTTAGGTCAAGCAGAAGATTTCCAAAGTCAGTCCTAATATCATAACGGGAAACCCTTGAGTATCCTGACATACCCATTTCATCCCCCGTGGTATCGATGGTGAACATCTGGTCGATATACGACCCACCTGCCTTGCCTCTAAACGCTAACTCGTCAGCTACTCATGTCCAGGACTATTTGCTCGTCAGGTATTAGTCTCACTCACCCAGTCACTCTCTCCTCTGCTCGTGCCTCCTCCATAGCCGTCTCTTCAGGCTGGATGTCGATGTTCTTTCGCCATGCCTTTTTGCCCTTTCGATTGGCCTGCTTGAATTGTGCTGGTGCACCGATTTCGGACGTCTTGCCCTTGGATTTTATCGTGGGCGTCATGGTCACGATCGATTCCTAAGTGTTATATCAGATGACAGACAGGATGTAAGAGGTTACAACCACGATCCGACATAAGATGTTGGAAACTTTTTGACGATACAATGCGTTTGGTCACAAATCTTGCGAGTCGAGCGAGAGCCCGAGGTTCGGCCAACTTTCTCAGAAATCAACACAAGTCACGTGACTCTGACAACCCGTTTACGTGATAGGGTTGGAAGGGCGTTTCATCGTCTCAGGCTGGACGGATGGTAGTATCGCTCCGGGGTATCTGGCAGGATCCCATCCTCGAAATCGTCAGCAAAAGAGCTCGGTCGGATCAGAGTGCCGACGAAAGAGGCGTATGGAGATGTAGCCCTTGGGTCGTGGGATGGGTAGGTTTCGACCTGTTCGGGTTTCGCGTTGCTGTGGCCTGGTTTGGGTGGCGAAACCTCGTTCAGATCGGGCGACGGAAGCCTTGTCAGATCCACGATGGGATGCAAGGAGTTCCAAAGTCGCAGCTGAGTGTACATGAGTGAAGTTCGATACGTCAACTGTCATATCGTTATGTTTAGCTCGCAGAGAGCCCGAGCTTACTAGTACTGCCGCCGGTACGACACTGCCGAACGCTTCGACGAGTTCTTGCTGATTGGCACGTAATAGTTTCTCGGTCGTCCAATATGCTCCGATGAGAGAAGCCGTATGACTGTTTAGGTGATGGATAGTAACCAGATCGGCACGTAACTATGCACCGATGGTACAAGCGATAGTCAGCGGATGATTGCGAACATCTTCGTCTACATCGACAACCCGCTCACCAGATCGTGATCCCAACGAAGATACTCTCGATCGGAAAACATCGCCCGCGCAAACTCGCGGCTCGTCTCCTTGGCATATTCCTTCTCGTCCCTTTCCGCACAGACCCTGACGATCAAGCCGGACATCTCGGCATGTTCGCTGAAGACGTATTCAAAGATCGTATCGATCTCCGCTGCGGTCTCACAGGCCGCGACCTGAGCTGCTTTTCGTCGGCTGACTGTCCCTTGTAGTCGTTGATACGCTTTGAGAGTTGCGGCCGACCAAGGATCTATGTACATCCCCAGGTCGTCCGAATGCCGCTTACGTGGGTGCAGGATCATGACCACGACGACACGTTGATAACGGTCGGAGAGACCGCCTAAATAGGAGCCCAGACTAGCACCGTCACTCGCCAGTGCGCCCACTTGTTGGAACACGATGGCCGTCCGGGGACTGACAACGAGATCCGCTTCGAGGTCGGCAGTGTCGACCAGGTCGATATGTGCTCGGGACAATCCGTGGCATAGGGTGCGCTCGGTGAGCACCGTCAGGGCCGTGAGGCAGGTCAACGGTTCCAGGGAGGACCGACGCGATTCGATGTCTGAAAGCGCCGAGCGCCAATATTCATTGTTCACAGGTGTATTGGGCAGAGTACCGCCATTCTGATGCAAGCCAGATTTGAAACGGGATTCGAGTTTCTCTGGGATGAGAGTGGGTTCTGCAATAGGGTGGTTGAACATGAACATGTCGTCCGGAAGCTCCACCAGGCCAGTAGAACTCGAAGTTTTCCCTTCGTGAATCATCGCCAGATCTAGGATGGGGTCATATATGGAGCGAGGACCCGGCTGACTGATTGCTATGCGCCTTTTCTTGGTAGCTCGTGGAGAGGGCTGTGGATCAGGAAGTCTGGAGGCGAGCTGAGGCACGGCGGATCTCATCTGGTCGTCAAGGTCGGTTCGTTTCAGGATTGGCGGATGACGATCTACGGGTATCATTGCCGGTTCGATCGCGTATGATCCCTGGGTTTGGTCTTTGCCTTGTTCGATGATCTCCGGGTCTTCCAATTTTACTTCGTCAATTGACGCTAGAAGCTCTTTCGCATCGGGACGCAGCGGTATTTCGTGGAAAGGGCTATTAAGTGAGGGATCTGTCAGTAATACTAATGACTGTGAGAGGCCTATACCTGACTCACCTCCATTCCAGCTATGATGATTGACTATCCATCATCAGCGCCGATAACACGTACAGGAAAATCGCTCTTTACTTACATCCATGGCCATATCTCTCTGCATCGCGCTCTTGAATGACTCCGGAGTGATGGCTTCGTGACTATACAATTGAGGTATAAGGACCAAAATCGTTGTCACCACGCCACTACGAGCTTACGCTTCGACGATATCATTCAGCTGGCGAGGCGCTCTATCTATTTTGAAGGAAGTCTTGGGGTTTATGACTATCACCGACAACAAGAATGAGCGAAACCTAACGGCTCTTTGCTATCAGCGAAGACTCACTGGAAAGTCTAGCGAATATTGCATCATGATTGGGCATCGAAATTCTCTCGTCAGGCGGAGCCTTGGTATCGAGGTTCGCTCGTGCCAAGACGATCGAGACTTTCTCACTCAGACCCTGCAAGAGAGGTCGGTCGTCCTGTACGGCCAGACTGACATTGTCCGTTTCCATATTTGCACTGCCTTCATCCTTGTAGTCCGCCCTGGAGTTAAGGTCGACGCTGAATTCGGATGGAAGCGAGACTGGCGAGAGCATCGAAGGCAAGGTGGGAAGTACGACCTTCTCGGGAGTCGTTGGTCGTTTGACAATCGGTAAATCTGTTAACTCTCGAAACTCAGCGCAGATTCAGTATACCAGTGCCTTCTCGCAGGTTTACCGAGTTTTTCAAAGTGCTCTTGCACAGGCGACGATTCAGAAGGTTCAGATTTGGCAACTTGAAGGCACTCTGATACCTCGCTAAACGCGTCCGAGTACAGGTGATCCGTATAATCGAAATCGCTAGAGGGACATGATTCGTCCTTGGCTATATTGACTCTTTCGACTCTATACGCCTTGACGGGCTTTTGCGGTGTGAGAACGCTCTCTGACAGACACTATCAGTAAATGACCTCAGCAGTTAACAGGTAAAGCGGTGGATACTTACCTAGAGGAGCGATGATACGTTCTTCGTCGAGCTTGAAACTTGCTTCTTCCGCTTGAACGCTGATAGGTCGATAGATTTCAAAAGCTATCGATTCCAGATTCTTGGTCGGTCGAGCTGGATGTTTTTGTTGCTGATACGATCGTCTGCTCATCAAAGGCAGCGATAACGGCTAGAAATTCGGATCGGTAATCATCAATCCGTATGTAAGTCATCGGTCGAAATGTACACCGCCTAGCTTGTAGCTCAATATGACTTGCCTTGACATCCTCGCTGACGGAGCTCTTGCCCATCCCTGCCAAACGCTCCTGTAATGACATCTTCGAGCTCGAACCGAGAGCTCCTAGAGTTTTCTTGATGTACGTCTCGCACGTCTTCGCCTGGTCCCGTGTCATATGGTATTTGTAAGACCTACCCGACCGCGTATCGAAACGATTCAATATATCTTTCTTTTAGGGAGGCTGAGATGTGCAGGCGGGAATGAAGAGGGTCGACCTACCTCAAACTTTTCAACTCCAATCGAGTTGGAACTGGCTCATCGACTCCTAATCCATCTGGTATTTGGACGACCTGAACAGGCGTCAAACGATTGTCACAACCTGGATGATCGGTGATCTGGAAAGGAGTCTGTCGGATCGCTTCCCGGGACAACAATGACCCGGTATTTCGTTCGCTGAAGACGTCTTCACCTATGCAGCGATACGTGTTGGTCAAATCAGCGCGCCGTCCGTGCGGATGATGCATGAGTTTGCACTCACCATGACCCGGCAGCGATCTTGATGAGGCTCCCGTATCAGAAGGTTTGGAAACAAGCCGTGTGCACAAATCGATCTTCCTGATCGATTCCCGTAGCAATCCAGCGTTCTCACGGGTAAGCCGCAGATGATTCTTCTGCGCCACTAGGCGGAGAGCCGTAGTAAAGACATCTTGCTGAGAAGTGGCCGGATTTGAAGGATTAGAGGAAATTGGTGAGGTTGCTGGTACTTGAAGGGCTTTGTTTATTTGAGCCAGGAGCTTGTCGTAGGCGTCGATCTGGACGAGTCGGTGGATATCAGGGTACGCGTCTAGATCGGCGGGGGTGATGGCGAGGAGGATCTACAGTTTGCGTGTCGAACGGGGTTCATCATCCCATCAGCGGTGACATATATGGCTTGATTCGACCCGCACGTCTACTCACCTCGAGGCTCGACTGTTCGGTTGATAGTTCGTGATCTACTTTCGACGTGCAGTGTTTCTGGATATAAGGTAGGGTCCTATCGCGCCACGGATCGAACGCCGCGGACGGTTCTTGCGTGGCGAACGCGGTCATGATCGGATGAGGAGTGCCTGTGAGACAGGTCTTTCTTCCTAACGGTACTTGGACGGAGACGTTCTACTTGTATAGAGATTGTTATGGTAGAACCTATCTGGGTCCGATAGCAAGATATGTCGACCTATCAGTCAACCTGACGTCTACCTCAACGCGATGAAACGTCAGGTTCAGATCCCGAAAGAGCCCGCGCACCTAGAGGCGTAGACGATTTGATCACTCTCCTCCCATCTCTAGGATGATCGGACGACCAGTTTGGCAGGGTGATGTGCTTAAAATTTCTTCGTACAGTCAGCCGAGTGAGCTGTCATCATCGTATGTCTGAGGTGATCAGATTTGATGACAAGACTTTGAGATGGACCGGTGGCCGGTGGTCATCAGTCGGGACCCTAGTAGTAATTAGTGAAAAAGGTGGAAATAAGCCGAAAATGAACGAACGGACCTCTGCTGAGTTCGAGTAGACATGTCGATGGTCATGTCGGATATGCTCAAGAGTAGTGTGTCTTCAACAAACTCTGCCATTGTAAAGTACAAACACACAAGAGTCGACCACATACAGTTATAGGACCAGCATGCCGTCGATTCACGAGGTGAGCGAAAGAAGCACAACGAATAGACGCTAAACGCTGTCTGTCGAGCGAGAGAAAGATGGTTCTCATGCGAAAGAATATGCGTGTTGACTCTTCGATCTTTCCTGCTTTATTATCTACTGCTCAACATCGTCTGCCTCCATCATCGTCGACAATGCAACACACGATGATCATCTACAGACTCCCTTTCTGTGCAAGACGTAAGCCATAAGATCAAAAACACAGCTACCAGTACCGCACACAGGAAGCTGATCCGGGATATTCGAATTCTGATGGTCTAGGTTCATCTCGTCTTCCCCGCTAGACCTCCATCCGGGCTTTTCGATCGATAGCTTGTCTCCCAAATTGGAACATGCCGTTTACGTATCGTAAGCCAGGTCTTAGATTTGTAACAGTGATGCAGGATAGCGGTAGCTGACAGGTCCTTCGGTTTCCGTTTAAATAACTTTCCCGCTCGACCCCCATCGCCTACCACATGATCACTCCCTACATACTCCTTATTCAACCAGCCCGGAAACCACGATCCTAAACGTCCTACAACGCCTCTGGACCACCCTCCCTCCGACGCTCAGATCCCATCGCGCTAGGTACAACATCAAGAGCTTGTTCTCGCTAGACGACCGGGACCGACCGGGGTACTTGGTCTGGAAGACGAGACACTTGGCGGATCTTTCTCAGCAGGACGTTCTTAGGGATAATAAGAGCGAGGATGAACATGGGTGAGTCCAGGTGGTTATGATTTGGCTTGACTTAATCGACCCGGAGTCGTCTTCACGTCTAACCTCGCTGCCGTTCTTTTATGTCTACCCCGCTCAGATCGAGATCGAAGACCCTCGGAGATTGCAAATTCCGTTCCAACGATTCGCTCTACATCACGGTCCACCTTCCACCTTCAGTCTCTGGTCCAGGACCCAACGCTCCCGGTGCCCTCTTCTCGATCCGTGGAACCGCCGGCCGACCGGATAACAAGACCAGTAACGGGTTCACACCTAGTGACGCAGCTGGAGGTGGAGCACCCAGGGGAGAAGGATCATGGATCGACGCACGCAAGGAGCATCCGCCCGTACCGCCCGGGGGAAACTATTATGGCCGGGATCGAGGAGAACGACGTAACGGAGGAGGTGGAGGAGGTGGTGGGAGGGGCCGACCAGCACCAGGCGGAAACGATCGGTACTTTGATTCTAGGGAGCGAAGCAGGTCTCCCCCGCCCCGACGAGGAGGCAACGGCGCTCGTCGACCCTCGCCGTCTTATTAAAAGATATCGAATCCGGTCAAAATGTTACACAAGCATGGGAAAAGGGTTCCCTGGCGTGCTCATTTGACATCTGGCTCATCATTGTATCACCTATTTGACTACTATTACGAAATGGTATACCCCGTCTCACATCTCGTCTCGTCACCGCGTCTCTCCCGTATCCGCCCCGTCATCTTCGGCCAACACGGCTCGCTTCTTCTTTTTCTTCTTTTTCGCTACCACCTGGACGACCTCGACCGGCGGAGTCGCTATCCGATCATCCGTCTTGACCGGTGAATCCGGTTCGTAATCGTCATACGTCGCTCTTGAACTCGGACTCGCTCGACCCGTGTCATCGCCTGTCATGTCAATGTCGAGCGCCTTCAACCCGCCGTTCGTCTTTTTCCGCCTAGCCGCCTTTTCAGTGGGTGTAGCGTGACCGCTACCCTCGGGCATCTCCCCTTCACGGTCGATCTGAACTTCAGGTCGAGCCACTACCTTGTCCTCGAGTGGTGTACCGGGACGTCGGGGTGATTTCCCACCTGACACCGCGGCTGAGAGCAGCCGACGACCTGGTCGAGTGTTCCGAGCCGATTCGTCATCATCGTCGTCAATCTCGAGCTTGACGATGGGGATGCTGTCGATGTCGTCGAGATCATCGTCGGCTGCAAGGTAATGCGGATTCCCCGCTTGTCTCGCCTTTCGCGCCGCGCGTCGCTATGTGGGATGATCATAATCAGCACGATGTCAAACCTTTTTCAGATGACAGACGGCGGTCGACTCACTGCAGCTCGCTCTTCTTTGCTCTCCGGCGTGCCATCTGCCTTAACTCGCGGTCCTTTTCCACCCTTTTTCGGCTTTGCCGATCCATCAGACGCCTTGATCGCCGCCTGCAAGGCGGCCATGTTCTCGCCGGCGTCGATATCAGGCTCCTCTTGATCCTCACTGTCCACGTCCACACCGTCGAATTCCGCCTTCAAGAGTGCCGGGTCCACGAGCGGGGTATCGAGATCGAGGCCATCGGGCAGGCTGACTCGTTCTTGTGCCTTGTAGCCGACGGGATTCAGCTCGTACGAGTCGAAGAGAGGCAGCAAGAGGAACAGGGACTTTGGGTATTTGGGTGTTGTCCCTGCATCGTCTTCGGCGAACCCTTCACGCATGCCAGCAGGCATGTCGTCGCCATCGTTAGGAGCGACGTTCTTCTCCACATCATTTCGTATGAGGGTAAAGAGGTGCGACAAGTTGGATGCCTACGGAGAATAAGACATCGCCGAAATCAGCCTGCTGAGAGTTAAAAGTCGCCTTGTCAAGCCTACTTACCCGCTCGTGCCCAATAAGCTCGGATAGATTTGGCCCTTCTTTCAGGGCCATGAAGATGTCCTCGATCAGGTCCAAGCATTGTTGGCGAACTTTGATGTTCCAGTCGACCGAAATGTCAGAGGCCCACCTGCCAAACACCTTGGCAGCCGCCATCAACCGCACGGCCGTTGTAGAAGCGCTCTCAGTCTCCGAAGTTGGAAGCAAATCGCGTATCATGCGGGGCGCGTCATGTGTGCTAGGACATCGGAACAAATCTGTCAATTCGATGAAGCCTGCGTTTCGGTCACGCCCACACTCACCTGCTATACTCTCCACAGATCCAGGCGGCCGCATAGACCACCTCGGAGCACGTCTCGTCACCCGCAGATGCTGCCGTCGAGAAGTGTTCGTCATTCAATATCCTCTGGCATAGCTGCACCGAATAGCCTCGCAGACTCTTGACTCGGCTGACCACATCCAACATCGTTGCCCTCAATTGCGCCCCGATCGGGGCTTGCGCAACGTATGCAAGATCGATCAAGACGGACATGTACCATTCAAAGTCGGTCACGTTGTCGTAGGTCTCGGCCGAAGTCATGTCCATGATCCGTTGAGAGAGCTCGAGTCGATATGCAGGCGATACCAAGTTGGCCTGACCGCTAGGACTGCCTGTCGACTCGGCCGTCTGAGCCAGAAGACTTGCTGCGTCTTTGCGACCGGCCGATTTAGTCTCCTTGGGTACGAGGTGTGATATCAGTTCCGTGACGATCTCCTTCAGGTTCCGGCGATTAACCTGAGTAGGAACAGTTCAGCCCTGTCAGAACGAACTCAGCGGTGTCCGATTGCGACCATGAACTGACCATGCTGGAGACTAGTTCCAAAGCTCGCATTCGAATGCTGACATCCTCATCGTCCAAGCTCTGCAAGATCTCATCTTGGTAGTCGGCGATCAGATGCGGGTGCGTCGGTACGATCTTGACCATTGCCAATAGGGCGATATATTTGACTGTCATCAGAGTCAGTGGTGAATTTGACAAACTGGTCCAGCTGTCATCTTTACTTACGATTCTGGTCTTCATCGCTCAAGAAGGTGCTGAGTTTCTCTACGCAAACCCGAGCCAGCGCGTCGCCGGCCTCCGTGCGTCCTTCGAGCATACCCCCAGTGATGCACGTGCGTACACATTCGTATAGCAGCGATATGGCGGGTGTAGTCGAGATCAGGTTGGTGATGGGAGGCAGCAGTTTCCGAACGAGACGAGGCTCGATCGGAGTCAACGTGGCGAACTACGGTTGTGTATCGGTTGCCGGGTAGTCAGCTTGAGTGTCTCTCCAAGGTCCAATCCCGAAAAATACTTGCCAGCTTGACGATCTTGATCAACATCCAATTATTGCTGCTCGTCGTCAAGAGCTCGAACAGCTGAGGCGCCAGAGGTAAAAAGTTCTTGGGATTCGATTTCCTCGACAATTCGGTGATCACGTTGATGGTCGCCGACACCACACCGGGATCGTCGTCCTCGAGCCTGTCCTTCAGTCTGCTGAATCCCATCCTCATGGCATCGGGATACCGTTCGAAAATACGGAATAAGGCGAGGACGGCTCGTTTTCGTACCTAGAAGTTCGACGTGAGGGTTGCGGTGAGTATGGATGCGTATGACAAAGTCGTCTAGGCAGGGCACATACGTGAGGTCGACTATGCGTCGTCAGGGTGGCAACATCGGCATAGACGTCTCTTGCCAGTGCAGGTGTGACTATATCAGATAATCCCATGAGGGCTAGTGGCGGCAGGTGTGCATGGGATGCAAGTAGATCCTACAAGAACCGCCAGACAACACCGTATCAGCATCTGCTCCGAATCAGACTTCTTCAGCTGATTGCTGCATGCTCACCTTGCGGATACCGTTTACAGTCAAGACGACCTCTTCCGTATCGAAAGAGAATGCCATAGGAGCTGCCACATATCCGAGCTCTAGATACGACGTGGAATCAGTATTTCTTCATACAGTGACACTTGGTGTAGAGATCAAGCTAGACGTACGCTTCAGATGATACCGCTGACTGCTCATAACCTCGACTACATGGAACGCAAAAGATGGAGGCGGTGCCAGTGGATGTAGCATCATGAGCTATGGTCGAAGACAGACCAGATATGACCTATTAGCTACCGAAGCTTCAGACCGAGCCAGCATGAACCCCACTCACGTAGCACATCTTGACGACCCCCTCGGCCTTGAGCTCCATATCCTTCCCCCTCAACTCGGCCCGTATCTCGGACATGGCCTCTTCGAGAAACGCATCTAGTTCGGCCTTGGACGAGTTTTTGTGCGATCTGAGACCACGGATGAGGTCTTGAAGCGATCGTTCCCACATGTTGAGCAAGGGCTAGGCGGGGCAGGTCTTGATATCCGAGGGATGTCTAGTTCGGCGTGTGGCTTCTTGGAAGGCCAGTGCGATCCAAACAGGCGGGCTGTTTGTTAAGTACCGGGGACCTGTTGGATAAACAATGGCTCCTGGTTCCTATTCCATATCGTTCCGCTGTCCAGTTAATTCCTTGAGCCGGTCCTCGACCGGTATCGTTCGAGAGAACGGTGTTCACCTAACCGATGAGTAGAGACGTCACGGTGTCCTTCCGGCTAACGGCTGACAGGTCTCACACTCGAATGAACAGATCGATCTAGTCTAAGTTCTGAACAAGGCGAGAAAGATACTGCCTGGCTGTTAGTAGACGAACATGTCGAGATCTCGATACATTGTGCATGTTAGCAGCTGAAGGTCAGCCAGGAGTGCGGAACCTCTTGACCGGACCGCGCCGAAAGATGACGATAACGTAAGAACTGTTAGGGGGGCGGTATTTATCTTAGAGAGGCGGTGTCTTAGGGCGAGAAGTCTCAAAAGGTGGAAATAACAACTTTGAACCCAAGTCGCGGGTGACGAAGTCACCGGCGGCTTCTCAAAACCTCTCAGTCAATCCCAGGGTAATATTAGGGGTTCCGGGTTAGGTGGTTAGGGGCTAGGGGTTATGGGAATTAGTGGTTAGGGGTTAGGGGGGTTAGGGGATCAGGGAGGAGGGGATCTAAAGCTCATGTTACGGGGAGGTCCTGGGTTAGGGGGGACCTTATTTCCACCTTTTCTCACCGCCTCTCTAAGATAAATACCGCCCCCCTATCAGTTCTTGATAACGTTCCATCTTTGCATTTGTGGCAATTCGTATATATTTATGGCGAGGATCAATCGATCATACAAAAAGAACCGGTACCGATCTAATACGCAACCCATCGGCGGACCCAGCCCAGAGCGCTCTTGACCTTGAACTGGTATTGTTCCTCGATCCACGCATTCATCCACTTTACCGTGACCCCTTCACGCTCCGCCGCCATCTCTACGGTTTCCCCCTGGAACAAGAGTCAGCACTTGACGTCGTCGAGTCGGTGTGGATTGAGAATCTCGGACATCGTTTCAATGTCCTGCACCTCACATAATCCATTGGCCTCGTACCAGACCCATGATCCTTTCATTGCCCTAAGTCGAGACCGGTATGATTCGATCGGTATGTTGTTTGAATCGAGAGAGACCAAGAAGCACTCACGGTTCTTGCATCGGGTGGAGGGCTTGTTTTTTGTACTTTTTGGCCGCTTGCTTGACCTTGGTGGCGACACAGGCCTTGACATTTGCTGTAGCGTTCTTAGTGGCTGTCATCGAGCGAGATCAGTTTGATTCAGTCGACGCCAAGATAATGGCCGCACGATGGAAGTCAGCAGTGAACTAGACAATCGTATCTTTGAATGAGCAATTCATATGTCTGTCATTATAGTCGTGGATACATGTGGCAAGACTGGTCGTTGTTAGAGCTCGTTATTATGTATCAGATGAATGGCCTTGTTTCGTAAAGTCGTAAATTGCGAATCTGAAAAATCGAAATGAAGGAGGACCAGCTCTCTTCGATAAGCAGGTCGCAAAGGGGACCGCTCTGCTGGTACTATTGATGCTGCTGTCCAGTCTCGATAGGGGTGACCGGGACCGGCGATGGCGACGATGACTGTCGCCCTCTGACGATGGCTTCCCAATCCTGTATACGTCGAGTCATCTCTTCGATATTGCCAACGGACAACACCTGTTCCGGGGAACGTTCGTTAAGTGAGGTGTGATGGATCAAGGCGTCGATGGTCATGAGGGCGTTCAAAACATGCTGCAGGGAGCGAAAGGCCGGAGAATCCCAAAGTCAGACCGCTTTGCCCGCTTTGTCAACCGCGACTTTGATGCGACTGAGTGCTCACCTGAGGCAAATCCGGTTGAACGGGAGTTATATTCTCATTCTCATTCTGCTTCGACCCCGCCCCGACCGTCTTGACGACAGTCTCTAGCTGAAGCCTCATCGACTCCATCTCATCCCTCAGACCTTGTACGGTCTCTTCCAGATCACGCCTTGAGAGCGGCAAGTCGGGCAACATGTGTCTCGACGTCCATCCTACCGGTGCAGAGTGCGTCGCGGCGAAACCGGCCTCGTCGTCCACATAGTCATCCTCCATGGTTCTGGCTTCCCTAGCCCGGCCATTGACATAACTACGTAGGTGTTCGACGTCGATCCCCTTGACGCTAGCCAGCTCGGGCGGGGTTGATACGGTTACCGTTTTAGGTAGACGGATATAATCGGATTCCGTCTCTCTCCAGATATCCTGCTCCGGTAAACCCCTGTCCACTGATTTCGAAGTCGAACTCGAGGTCGTCGATTGTACATGCGAGTGCTCTTCCGGTCGACCCGCATCGAGTGTGTTCGGGTCGGTGGGATGAGGAGGACGAGGTGAAGATCTGGGCGCAGGGTCGATCGCTGGAAACCGTTCGTCCAGTTCGGTAGGCGGGTCGGACTCGGTATCGAGGAACGAGGCGTGTCCTGGATGACCCCTTTGCGACCGTCCCTGCGCCCTAACAACGTCTTCTCCATTTCCATCTCCATCTCCATCTCCTTGTTCTTCCCCGTCGCTATACCCGTCTTGATCCTGGTCCTGACGAAGGGGTCGTTGCCTGACAGAGGTCTCCAAGGCATACCTTAACGTAGCGCTCGTCTGTCTAGGCCTCTCGTACGAGTAATCTCTCTTCCTCTCCCTCTGCACCTCCCTCTCACGACTAGTCATTCTAGGTGACGTCGAGGCCACGGCCGAGGCCGACGTGGAGTGTGAAGGGGAGGGTAAAGGGATCCTCGGGGAAGATTCGAAGATGCTAGACCGGAGCGGTCGCCGAGGACTGACATACAGGCTCGCTGTGGCTGATGATCTTTCCTCGCCCGTTCCCGTTCTTGTGCCCGTAGGGGTAGAGGTGCCAGTCTCGATGGTCTGGTCGTCCAGGAACGGATCGCGAGTGAAGGTCTGACGGGAAGGCATCTCCGTCGAGTTACGGGGAGTGGAAGTCGACATAGAGGTTGATGTTGACCCTGAGCGATCTCCAGCTCTATGACCTCGGTCGGTATGCGAGGAGGAGGAAGCTCTCGGCGTCGACGTCGACGCTCGTTCTGCCTCTGATCCCTGCGACTCGGTAGAATGTCGTTTCAGATAGTCTTTGAGCGGTGATCCAGACAGCGATGTGTTTGGGTGGGAGGTTCGTGTTCGACGTCGAGGTGGGGAAGTCAAAGCAGTCTGAAGAGAGGTCAAAAGAAGTTGATGGTTGATGATCAACAAAACAGTCATATCCCATGGATTGTCATACGACCATCAACATACCGAATGGAGGGAGGCATCCATAGAAGTGCTCGAGAAGGTCGATTCCCCATCCGCATCTAGACTACTCCTGAGTCTAGGTCGTCGTTGTGAAGCTTGGTTCGATCGTACGGGTTCGTCAAGTAGAGCCAGAGCTCTTTCAAAGGTGGTCGTTCTCGGTTGATGAGCGTTGCCGAGGTCGAGGTTTTGATCTTGGTCGACCGTCATCTTTAGCTCGGCGATGCTACGGCCGTCGAGTGGGATGCAGGCCCATACAGGCTGCTACTAATGTGTCGTCTTGTACTCGGATCCGTTGTACAGAGGATATTCAGGGACCCAAAGGTCTGAATGACCTTGAAGCTTGGTAGACGCTTTGCGAGTCTGTTGATGCGTGATGGAGATATGAGGTGAAGCGGCGGATCACCTGAACAACCCATGCACCCTGCAACTCTGACTTGCGCCCAATACCTGGACTTGACAAGGCGAATTCCCTGCTCAACAATATTCTACAAGCATCTAATGAGCTAATGATGGGTGCGCACGAAGAGCTAAATTGCTGCAAACGGCGTGTCATACATGCTTGGTATATCCCTCGGACTTCGCTGGTATCGCGTCTCCATATTCAACAGTTAAAGAGTCTGAACTTTTCGTTATCCATTCCATCCTGATTATTCTGAAGCGCAAGACGATGTAGCTATGTAGCCAACAACTAAATGCAAACTTCAATGTCACAGTCTGAAGATCTGTCTTTTGGCAACCCTTCATGGATACAACCGTCTCTCCCATGCATTTCTTGTAGACTACCTGGTCATTTCCACCTTTGAGATATTTCACCATCGCAACCAAAGCAGGCATGTTGACAGGTCGGGTCCGCCAAAGCTGATTGATAACCTTTGTAGGTGCCAAAACCAGTTAGGTTAATACCCAGTTCCTCTAATAACGCTGTCAGTTACTTACCGTCTTCATTTCCCCAACTATAGTTTTGCAAATCCTGATGTAAAGTTTAAAGTTTGCTTCTTCTTCTTTTGTCTCCTCTACTTTGATCTGAGCCGGATGATCACTGGAAATGGTCAAAAAATTGGTGAGCAACTTGGAGAGGAAGTCGACAGTATGATGCAGGAGGTTGTCTATGATTGAGGGTGGAGGGGGATGTAGTCCTTGTTCTACAACTGTGCGGTGGAGTGATAGCATTTGGAGATCTCTGTCAGATGCCTGATTACGCTCTTGGCTGAATCCGATCTGACATACCAGCAGCAACCTTGATGAGACATTCATATAGTGGTTTGGGAACACAGGGCCTAAAGACACCGCTACCAAGAAGGTGAGCCATGTCTTTTACTTTTGAGTCTGTGACATCCTATGCAGGTGGAACATCTTGTTAGCAATCTACCAGCTGTTATAGCCGTCACATGACGTGTCGCTGATCCCGCAAGAGACCCCCTTGGTGTAAGGCCCGGGAGCGACCCCCGATGGGGACGCCCCTGGACAGGCTGCCGGGACGCAGGAATGAGGCAAGGTACGGGTAGACATCTAAATGTAATAACGGATGTAGAGCTATTACAGAGGTACTAGTTCTACATCAAAACAACAACACCAAAAAGTACCCCCGGCGGGAGTCGCATACGGGAGTTGCGTACAGCGCGTCTGACGCGTCACGTGACCTCTATAACACTCGGGGGTCCCCTCGGAGACACCTCTTGACATCCCCACAGGGGTCTGTCTTTACATCTCCCGTAGGTGCTTATTATAATAGGCCCATTGTATGTATATACTTCATCCGTTACATACTGCTTTTTTTTCTAATCAGGTGATCAGACAGTTTTGACCATTTACCGCCTTGATCTTCTTAAACGTTCAACGTGGTCGTCTTGACCGTCTTAAGACGGTCAGCAGAAGGTAACGTTCATGGTTTCAGCAAGATGATCGAACGTCTGTTTGAAGACAATCACGTGATCGTTTTGATTGTGGCCATCACTAATCTTGTCTGAGAACATGTCGATGCTCTGTTAACCAAGTCCAAGGTTCTGCCCCACTATCATACTCACCTGAATGCTGTATGGAGTACACTCAGAGAGACCACCCATTTTGAAAAAGGCGGTTGCAACCGTGACTGGCATGGTCTTGCCTGTAAAGTTGGATGCCTAAAGTATGTGATAAGTGGTAGGCAGGCAAACGGTGTCAGTTCAGAATTCTCCTTGACCACAGTCAATGACATACCTTGAGCACGTTTTGCATAGCCTGTCAAGACCATAGCTGTCAGTCAAGTATGTGCCTTCAGCATGACGGTCATCAGCTTGTAACCTACTATATTCTCTTTCTTGCTCTACTTTCTAAACGAGTTTTTAACAACACCAGTGGTAGTTATTAGGCTTGCCTGCAAGCCTGGGATAGTATCACACGGGACTAGAAGGTAAGGGTAAGGTAATGAATGTAATAACGGATGTAGTACAACTAGTACTACATTACAGTAAACACATAGGGGGTGTTCTAGATATACTCTGTACGGGAACTCCCATCGGAGGTCCCTGTAAAACTACCCGACGCGGATGTTTGATACGCGTACCGCGGATACTATAACAGTAGTCCACCGCAATAAGCACATACAACTCAGTTGCAACACATTTGCAACACATTTGTGCCTTTGTAAAATGCCCGCAAGGGTGCAGTGTACCACACCTCTGTAGCCATCTTGCAAGAATTGAAATGCTTTGAGAGGGTTCTGGAAGGCCCTGCTGCGGTAGCTGATTCGCGTAGGAGTTGCTGGGCGGCTTCCCTCAGATCCAGGTCGTCATGGAAATGAGCCGAGCGGACATAAAACATCACATCACGAAGGCCAATATGGCTGTGCAAGGGCAACACGTCAAAGGCATGCATCGAACTCACCTCTTCGAGCGCCTTTGGAACATCAATCTCAGGTGGTCTACTATCCTTCTGTTACGGGAGAATCGCAAACCGCGACCCACCCGACGACCATAGGGCCAGGATATAACAGAATGTGACTCGCATACTGACTTGCTCTCCGACTTGATGCGACATTGCATATTATTCCGAAAAAATGTACAATGAGTACGCCCTCGCTCCCGACCCACACCGGCCGGTCACTCCACTCCCCGATCACAAGACCAGCTACATCTGCATCCTACACCGTCTCTCCGGTAAGCCTCCAGTCCACGATAAGCCTCGTCTTCCGCTACGCCATGTACCAAGGCCACTGTGCTAGATCCCTGAAGCCATCCCTGTTCGCCGGCGGGTTGCGTTCCGGACCGGTTGCGGAATCACGGTCATAGACTCCCGTCCATCGTATCCGGTCTAGATCAGGCAGGGGCTTGACCTCTGCTCTGCCCCAACTTCTCAGCGTCGCCCTCCGAAACGAGGCGAATTGTCTGTTCGTCGCCTTGCGCCTTGCCGACTAGGGCGTAGGATCTTCTGATAGACATTCGTAGCTGGCAGCACCCGGTCGTCCACTTCGAGCCGGTTGTCCTATCCCTGTCTTCACCCGAACCATATCGTGGTTCCCGTATCACCATCTCGCCGCCCTTCAGCCCGATCTGCTCGTTCTTTCGCCTCGATGACCAAGGAGCCCATTCGTTCTCCGCAGAATGCCGCTCTCCTTCCCTTGTGACCCATTCCGTCGCCCTAATCGCTGCTCAACCAAGCGATCATGCCTATGAAGAGCGTCATTACTCCCGCGATGCACCCGAAGACCGTAGCGACGCCTTTGTACCACTCTTTCCACTCGTGTGCCGTTCCTACCGATATCGACGTCGAGATCCCCCCAGTGGCGTATGCAATGTGAATGTAGATCCGAATGTAAGCGAATCGAACGGTACGGTATCGATTTCACAGCCCCCTACACCTGCTTCGTCTGGATTGATCAGGACAGGCTTGAAACTCACGCTTCTCGGTCTCCTCGTGTGTTTCCCTGACGGAAACCAACATCGGTCTCGCTGGACTTGTGGCCATCGCTTCCCACGCATCGTCGAGGATGATGATGTTCGGCCCGAAAGGTTCCATGTCCTTGTCGGGGGATACCTCGAAGGTGATCTTTTGATCTGGAATGTTACATAACGAGGGAAAGGCTCGGCGAGTGAGTTCGACCGCTGCCTGCGATAGTTACGATGCTTATTAGTCAGTGAAGCTCGTTCAGTATGGAGTATGTAAAGGGGGCGGGCGCTGCGACTGACCTGCCGTGAAGAAGCGATCGGACCCAGAGCCCGCTGTTTCTCGCCCCTCATCGGCCATACGGGGTTGTAAGTCCAAGTAGTCAGACCGGGCGGATGAACAGTCTCGTTCGTGTTCGTCGGGGCGGGAGGTGGAGGGTAGGTCGGAAGTCCAGCTTGGCGTTCGATGTCCACGTCGTCGGCGTTCCTCAGCCAGTCGTGGTCGTGGTCATGGTCGACCAGGTTGGCATCGGTCGGAAGGGGCTTGTAAGTGGATGTTCCGGTGGATCTGGGTAGCATGATATGTTTGTCTTGATCTGTCTAGGTAGTCCGAACGAGTCGAATAGCGAATAGAGTGATCAGGGTTGTTTCGCGTAGGTATAGTGGTTGATCAAGCTCGAGGGTCTCCGGAGTTGCCCGACGACCTGACGTTGCGACGATATGGCGATCTCACTTTCGATCTTATATACTACCCACTCCAGTCGAGGCAGGAATTTCAATGACATTTTCTACAGCCCTGCGGCACGCTTGTGAAAGTGACCTTGCGAGTTATGGACGGTTTCCAGAATTGCTCCGAGTTCGAAGGTTTAAAGCTCACGTCTCGCTGAGCGATGAAACGACGTCGGGGTTCGAGACCTAGACCTCAATACTTTTCCGCGATCCCGAAGCTGACATGCGAATCACCATCTGCCCGAGCCTTGCCCATGCCCAAACACTCTCAAGAAGAAATAACTCTCAGCTTGACACACAAGATACAGCCACTAGGGAACCCACGCTGCTCAGAGTCATTGCGGGGAGGTCGCCAGTCGACGTAGTACGGCAGCACTGCAGGCCGGCCCCCCATCTTTACACCCTGATCCGGCTTGACATCCTGCTCCATCTTCATATCCTCCTCTGACTTGACCTCTTCTTTCGACTTGATATCTTGCTCCGACTTGATGTCTTGCTCCCGTCTGACTTGGACAAGGTTGTGACGGCAATGATAGATGGGGGGATGGATTTTGCCATAGAGCAGATTGCGCTTGTCATTGTCAGCGTGAGGGGTGGGTGATGGCTGGGTTCGTTGCAAGCCGATGGTGCTGACTTTGCTGACATAGCTATCGGGTGGGCTTGACCACGATTGAATATGATCCAGGGTAAAAATGTTTCAAGATGTCAAAGTGCAAGACTACCAAAGAGAGCTCGGGTACGAGTAAGTACTCGTATGTCCTTGTTTGCGAGAAGCGTTCATCCCTAACCGCCTCCGAGGTGTGTTTATAGGAAGGACCCCCCCGTTACCCGGTCCTCTGGTACAGCCAATTCCCCTGGTTCAGCCAGTACCCCCGCAAGTATTACCCGCAGTGCTCAAAAGGTGGCACAAGAGTTGTCCGCGACGCCCTCAGCTGCGAAGCGGGCTACAGGTACGGCCACACTCGGACGGAATGCGCGCCTAGCAAATCGCTAACAAAGTGTTCCGTCTATGCGCGAACCTCACTGTACAACAGGGGCAGCCACAACCAAGGGGTCTCCTAAGCAGGAGATCAAACAGGAGATCAAACAGGAGGTCAAAAGGTCGCCCCGAAAACGGTCTTACCTGTCTCGAGGGGAGCAGGCCTGGGAGGCTGCCGCATATGAACCTCCCTCGCCTTTGAAGAAGCGTAAACAGGACTTCTGTAAATGATACGTAACGTTTGAGAACCCCTGCCGATGTTCTTCAGAAGCGCCGCGTCAGCGATGAAACCGTCAGGCCCTGGTCTCTGAAAATCCCCACATCACAAATGGCAATACGATTACGAGTATACAAGTATATAATCTGCCAGTATCCACCATTTTACTAGTAGGACAGACCAAAAATGAGTATATATATCGGCGGTATTTATAGCCGTTGGCAGCACTCGTCTGGGTTTTTGCCGGGACCAAGAGGACCAGACCAGTACAAAGAGCCTGATTCCTTCCCCACCAAGGACATCTCCTCTAAAGGATATCCATAGGTCCTGACTTCATAAACCCTTCGCGCCCCTTCTAGCTCCATCCCCACCTGCCAATGATCAAGCATGTTCTGCTTGTTGAGGAAGTATAGGGCTTGCGCTTGAGTGCCCGACAATGCGTTCCAAACCGTGTGGGTACGTGTCAGACCAGTCTGGGCGGTACGGAGGATCGAATAGCAGATCAAGGCTTGATATAATGAGACCCAGGATCTTTACACCCCGGTGGATTGTAGACAAACTCTATGGGGTTAAGTCAACTCCCAGTCGAGAAAGATCGGGTTTGCCGCTTGTGTTGTGAAGACAGGGTTCCACCCGAAAGTACAATCAGCTTGTGATGTCTGACTCTCGTTGGATCTACAAGTTACAACAAGAAACGTTTCGTACATCTGTTCTCACACCTCGACCTGGCTTGTAACATCAGTCGATCACAGCACCACAGCACATCCAGGTTTTAGCTGATCATGACGAGCACTGTCGAGCAATTCAGTACCGGCCGCCACGCCATCCCGCTGACAATATGCTACGACGAGAACATGGGCGACCTCTACGACGAATGGATCCGGGATACCGCCTATGAGATAGAGGTCGATCGCGATCAGACCATCAATATGGACGAGAACTCGGCTGCCTTCCGCAAAGCCTGTGTTGAGCAGGTCTGGCGCAGGCTGGAATATAGATCTTCGCTCGCCGTCAAGAGGTTTCCTAATTACCAGTTGATACAAGATCGGGCGGAATATCAAGCAACGGACGAAGGTGTTGTCGATTGCGAGGGCGATAACGATGTCAATGGTGGGCACAACAACGAAGACGCTGGGGAACCCTACCTCAATCTCATGTTCACTGAGTCTAAGAACGATGACAACGGTGTGTTTGAAGACAACTTGGAATGGGCCAATGGCCAGTTATCAGGAGCATTCGACCCACGATTCTTGATCGTCAACGTCGTCAACCCCAAAGATAACGAAGCTTTCTCCCGTCTCTTAGAGAATGGTTTGCGCTACCTCGCCAGCGATCAGGGGAAGGCGCAGCTGGAACGGTTCCTCAAGCCCTCGTGGGGAGGAGAGATCGAGTTGGAGGAATTTGAATCCCTCACAGGGTTATCGGGATTGGGATTCGATATAAAACCTCCCTACGCCCTTTCAGAGAACGATGCCGGATCGATCCGGCTCTGCGCTCTCTTGAACGGGATAGCCTCTGCTATCATCGGACCCGGTTACCGCAAGATCTGTCATTGGGCTGGGTATGACCGGTTGGAGGCGGCCCAGCGTTACATAGACCCCGGGCCTGAGAATCTGGACGATATTGTGTTTTTGAGAAGTGGAGTTGATGTTCTCAAGTCGGTTAAGACGTATTTGGTCAGTGCATCTGGGGAGGGACACGAGCATTGGTCGATGGACAACTCTTTAAGAGGAAGTTTGGCGAGGAAAGCGCTGCAGATCGTGAGTCCTCGTGGAGATTAAGAGACCTAACCTGCCATGTCATCCCGATAAGAAGATACATCTGCCGACTTGCTTACTTGCTCTGTGTCGTCATGCTTACTTGCTCTGCGTCTGACGGCACAGCTTCAACTCGCTCACGGTCACCCCATCGCCGGTCCGCTCCTCAGCCTCACCCGGACGGGAAGTCGAATACGCTTCTGGTCCATGGGACCTGCTAGTTACAGCTCGTCCCGCCTCATCGACATGAAGAACCCGGCACAACATGCCGATCTCGTACGGTGGATGATCTTCCTGCTCGGTCCGGTGGAACGTCTCACACCTGCCTGGCAACCAAGATCGGACATGCGGATCAGTCGTCGCTTCGGATCTGAGGTCGTTGAGGAGACTGTGCATTGGGAGCCCAACGGGAAACATTCGCTGAATAGCGCTTGGAACGGTGTACGTGACGTACGTCATGAACCGATCAGCAAGAGGACGACCGTATGGGCTGGAGCTATCACAGGACCTTCCGATGTCGAGGAGATACCGGTCTTGTGCAAGGCTTCGTGGATGAGTACCGGCCGTCAACAATTTGCACACGAGCTCGAGATTCTGCGATTACTTCAAGATCCACTCTCTCAGCACGTTTTCCCGGAGATCGAGGACAAGGGAGTTTTCCGTCGGACCGATTTGATGAGAGAGATCCCGCAATGGCAAGAGGTAGCGTCGAACCTGCCGAAACCGTTCGGTCTGGTTGACTTGAGCGAAGAACCAGACTATATAGTCCGGCCTAATATTGGAGCGGCCAAGCCCCTCGAGCGAAATCAAGATCAATCTGAACCGCGCGATACCGTCGCCTTGTCGGCGTTGTTACTGGAAAGTCAACCGGCAAACCCTTTGGCGGTCATACAAGATCTCTCGATGAAGCAGTTTCTACGGATATATATCGATGTCGCCAAGGCTCTCTGGTATCTCGCATGCGAGGGCATTCACCATCGCGACGTTACGCATGATAATATCATGGCAAGGCTCGTCGAGGAACCGGGTCAGCCCCCAACATACGCAGGGGTGCTCATCGACTTTGGGAGCGCCATCTATTCTGGCGAGCGGCGAGACGTGGATCCGGTGCATTCTACCGATGCCTACATCAAAGCTGGAATCGATGACGGGTTTGCAGGATCCACATTCATGATAAGCATCGCCGCGCACAAGCATCGATGTTACGATCGTACACGGGACCTGCGGACCATTGAGGAGTGTACAAACGCGGACGGCACGATAGTAGTACCGGAAGGCTCGGCCGACAAACGGTGGCGTGAGAAGGTGGTCTCTTACGCCCGTAAACGACTGGTGCAGGATAGACTGCATCGCTTTGTCGATGACCTGGAATCGCTGCTCTATTGCATGTGTTCTCAGGTGAGTCGACTGTAAGCGGGCCGAGTTCCTACGACATCGACAATCATTTCGCTTTTTGCACTGTAACAGGTCGGTCTGCGCCGATTCGGCCAGGGAGACAACCCGGCAACTCCGATCCTTGGGTCGCTTGAAAAGAAGCAGAGCGAGTGGCAGGACAGCCTCTTACATGTGAGCTGTCTTGACCGATTGCAATGACACAGCTCACAAGACGCCTCTTTCGCTCATACCGCGACATGCAGTTGACGAACCAGGTCGACCGCCACAACCATCATGGACAGTTCAGGATCATGATACATGACATGGCTGACCGGATCCAGCTGGTCCAACAGGATTTAGATCTTGACAGTCACCAACGAGCCGGTCAAGCGATCACTCAGCAAGAGCACGAATGTTTCCGTGACTGCGTTAAGAGGATGGAGCAGGCGCATGATGCGACAGATCCAAGCGAAATGATCGAAACAAACGATTAAAGGTCTCGTATGGCTGCATAGAAGCGGTCTACGTCGGACGAGGATGGGAATCCGAAGCGAAGCGAAGCGCGATCAAGCTTGGTAAAGGTATTTTGCACATATCCGAGTAAGACTACGAGTTTGGGACCTGGCGGATCGGTGCGGTCGATCTCGACGACAATTTAGATGCAAATCGAGACGGAGCTGGTTGAGTACCTGATCGAGCAATTGTGTAGGATGAATCAGTGAAAGTACGGGGATATGCAAATGTCAATGTGATTGTTCCTTCTTTCTCTCGCAATGTGGAACAACAACGGTCCTAGGTGCATGCAGTGAGTATGATCATGTAGAAAGCCTCGAGAGGTCATATAGAAAACCTGGTCTACTGCTGATCGACGTCCTCGAGAGGATCGTGATGTCAACTCATATGTGATGCGAACGCGGACAACATAGACCTCGCAGGGGTTTCTTCTGGCTTCTGTCAAACGCGTTTTCTCGGCCCAGCACCGTTTATGTCTGACATCCGCCGAAACGTCCATCTTCCACCCAGCAGGGTCCCTAGTACTTCGGTCTCCCTCAATCCCTTTGCGTCACACCCTAACGGGTCCCTATCGATCAGTGTTATATCTGCCCGGTCGCCAACCTCGATCCCGCTCTTGCCACTCCACGTCGTCGCCCTCCAAGCCGTCTCGACGTCGATCGCTTGTTCGGCATGCCACGGATCCTCCTCGAACCCCTTCTCTGTGCGACCTACAGCGACGGCCATGGCTTCCCACGGCTGTAGAGGTGCCACGGGACAATCGCTTCCCAACCTCAAAGGGATGCCGGCGTCGACCATCGACCGATACGCGAAGGCTCGTTCCTCCCTTCCCGGCCAGAACGTCGCACATAGCGGCCTGTCGTCGATCATATGGACCGGCTGGACGGACGCTATCAACCCGAGCCTCTTGAAAGCCTCTCGATCCTCCAACCTCAGCAGCTGGGCGTGTTCGATTGTACTCCCACTGAGCGGCCTGACAGGGAGGGATTCTAGCACCTCCAACGTCTTGCTGATCGCCTTGTCCCCGAGAGCGTGGATGGCGAGCTTGAAGCCGTGACTGATCGCCCGTTCGGTCATCCCTGCCAACGTCTCGTCCTCGTACACCCATTCACCGTGATCATCCCCGCGTCCAGGGTAAGCGTTGTGACAGTAAGCCGTCCGAGAACCGAGGCTTCCATCGGTGATGATCTTGTGCGGGCCGACGTGGACTAAACCACGGGTCCCCTCGACCAGGTCGCCCGTCTTGAGATCGAGCTGGATGGCTTGTTCGAGGTGCGGTTGATACAACCCGGCGTGTATGCGTAAGAGGTCGTTCCCGTGCGCGATCCGACGCTTCCAGTCGGTCATGTTGTACGCCATCTCTAGGTCGATGATCTCGGTCACTCCAAGGGACCTGTTTACCCAGGTCATATGTAACGGAGTCGAGCCGACTGCCTCTCAGCTTCTTTCTACGGGGACAATTCGTGGCATTGGCAGTTGCGATGACGACAATCTGCGGGACTCACGCAGCAACCCGACTGATCTTCATGACCATCTCGTCGACCTCTTCCTCATCGACGCTGTTCATCACACCTAACGCAGCAAACGCCTCGGTCTCCTGTAAATGCCCATCGTGCCCATCGTGCCCATCGTGCCCGTTTCCGTCCCACTCCCCGGAATCCAACCCCAGCTCCACTTCCACTTCCTCGTCATCGAACCCAAACCGTCTCAAACCAGCCGAGTTGGCGACGAGCGAATGGAACCCGTTGAATATCAATACGATGCTCAAGGACCCGTGCAAGTCTGGGTAGGGGGCGGTCAGGGCGTCCAACGTCGATCGGGTTAGGGAGGGGAGGTCGGGCCAGTCTGACATTCGCATGTGTTGACCGACCAGCCAGGTGCTCGTGTTCGTGGGTTTCTTCTTCTTCTCGCCCAGCACCTCTTCTAGACCTAGACGTTCAACCGAACCGGGTCCTCTTTCGTTCATCCCCAACCCTTGGTCTTCGGCTGCGGAGCCTAGATAATCCCTTGCCAAGACTCGTTGGATAGTCTCGATGACCTCTCTGGCGGACTTGCAGCTGGAGAGATCTATCCTCGATTCGGAAAGGGCCCACCATCTGAAGTGAACGTGGCTGTCCATCAATGATGGGGCTACGTGGGATCGTCCTTCCAGGTCTATCTCGTCGTCGTCGTCGGCATGAGTATTATTGCTATTGTCATCGGCATCGTCGCCGTGAATGCTGATATTTGCAGGTGCATTTCCGGTTCCATCCGGGTCAAGTCCAGATTTAGAAGACGAGGTCCGGCGTTCCCCCATCTCTCCTTTGCTGTTGGCAAGACCTTCTTCTTCGCTCGAAGTATAGCCCGGGGCTTGCGAGATCGAGCTGACGATCCCATCCGTAATCTCCAGATCATAGACTCCGTTATCGGGCCGACCTACGAGCCGGGCATTCTTGATCCGTCTGACCAATGTAACCATCTTTTGTGTCTGTCTCTAGTTTCTGAACTTGATTGAATTTGGGTCGGCTCACTCGACCTTAACTTGAGGATATACGCCGGGGGAGGGCTGACAGATCGGAGCCAGCTTTATCTGGGATTTCCTGGTATGGCCAATCTTGTTGACAGGCGAAATGGCGATTCGTGAGGGAATGCACCTGTAAGGTATAACAAATGTGTATCTTCCGAGGTTCTGATAGTTCTAGCTTGAATTGGTAGGTGATCACTTGCGGGTGAATGAGACGCTGGCCTGTGCTGCTACCAGCTATCGACTACTGGCTACTGGCTACTGGCTACTGGCCACTGGCCACTGGGCCCTTCAGGTCCCCTACGACTGCTCGATGCTGACCTTTGACGCACCTAATTTACTCGAGGCGTAGCATTCTTGTTGTCCGACCACAACGATGCTTTCTTGCACATACCATGTTCTCATGTTCATGCGCCCATGTGGTTAATTTCCTGTTCTTCGTGGTCGATCGATCTGACCTTGTTCAAACCCTCTGACTTCATCCACATAATCATATACGAAGCATATATGAGCACGGCCTGACCGAACCGCTCAAAAAGATTACCTTCTTAGTGAACGGGGGAACAGGTTTATACTTGATCATACAGTAGCCCTGAGATCTGATCGATATATATAGGTCTCCATCGCTCGATACGATACGACATGCTATGGGTCCGCCGGCAGCTCGATGCGATGTGATGATTCCTGCGTCTTAACTTGCTTTTCTCTACGATCCATGCTATGTGAGGTATTCCAGGACACAGGACACGGTTCCCTAGGACGCTTCTAGCTTCTTGCTCAGAGCTGAGCAGACTTTTTGGAAGCTAATCCCGTGAATTGGTTGGTATCCCTCATGCCCAACACCGTCCCGAATGTCATGAATACAATCGCAATAGAGCAAGAGAGCTTGCATGCATCAGCACCTGAACGAGGAAGAAGAAGAGGGAAACCCTTGGTGACCTATTCTGGACCCCTTTGAAGATTCCGCCAACCCAAACATGACCAACTTCCTGCATTCCTTCAAGAGGTACGACTGTCAGTGATTTCAAGAGAGGCAGCGATCAACGATGATGATGTGCCTTTTATCAGATATGTGTTGAACGAGATCATTCCGCTGAAGGATCAGTTCAGCAGCAACAGACTCGCCATCGACGTCTTCTCCATCGATTTAGAGTCGATCTTTTTCATCGATTTTCCCTCCCTCTCCATCGGTGCCGTGGCAGCAAAGATGTGTAGTCCTGGTCCAGAAGGATTGTAAATTTCGAACCAGGTCTTTCCCACACGTGTTTGACCATTGGCGGCAACATCAGGCATGCTTGCAGACTTGTGTGAAGCGATAGATTGTCACGGCGGCTGGATGTTGTCTCCAAAGAAGATGCGGGAGATGTCATCTCGACGGTCTTCCAGTTGAAGCTGGGGGTGACCGACCTCACGTTTGGCATGCCAATGGGTTCTGTTGTTGTCAATTTGGCAATATTCCAGGTCGGTCCTTCTCATCACCGGATCAGGCAATGAGTAGGTGGCCATTGCGGCAACAGGGTGGCCATGAGGGCCGAGCGCGTAGTGGCCTCCATCTATGTGACCTGCCTTTGGTGTGAACCTAATGATGAATCACTCAATGAAGACTCCAGGGCTACCTCTTGGCGATCTTGTTCGAGCCCTTGGTTTCCATCGGGTCCGGTTCGATAGGACTTGAGCCGATCAATTTGGATTGCTACAGTACCACACCGCAATCACTATTGGTGATTTGCGTCTCTGCATCGATAGACGGGACAATAGCATTAGCATACTGACATTTGTTCCGAGGTAAAACCTTTCCAACGTCTTGTTGTGGGAGAACATTGTATTTCGAACTTTTGATTTCAAGGGCGGAAATGAGCAAAGTCGTTCAAAGCGCCCTAAGGTCCATCTCCAGGAAGTCCCACAGGCAGCTTGAGGAGTTCAAGGAGATATCCTGATACTTGATCCTGCTGGAGACCGGGCCCCCGAAAGCCCTGAGTTAGAGCAATTGGAGAGGAGATCTGTTCATAGTTTGTGAAGGTAGACAAAGGATAGTGTTTGGCTTCAATGCCAGAGTGCTTGGTTGTGCCAGAGGGCTCAATGGTCTTGGTGGAGTGTGGCAAGAGCAAACAGCGTCAGTTGGGCATTGGCACATTTGTGTATTGCCGCTGGGACTCATGGGTTACAAGTATAGTCCAGTGTCTCAAAATGCCAGAATTGGACCTCTTTCACCTTGTACCTTTCGGCCTGCTCCATCTCCACACAGTAGGCCTCTTCAGAGATCTTGTGCTCTGCACATTTGGCCCGTGCCACGGAAGGCTCGATCCCAGTGAACGGATTCTTCTGGGGTTGCCGTAAGGCCCGGGAGCGGCCCCCGGCGGGGGTCCCCCTGGACAGGCTGACGGGACGCAGGAATGAGGCAAGGTACGGGTAGACATCTAAATGTAATAACGGATGTAGAGCTATTACAGAGGTACTAGTTCTACATCAAAACAACAACACCGAAAAGTACCCCCGACGGGAGTCGCATACGGGAGTCGCGTACGGCGCGTCCGACGCGTCACGTGATCGCTATAACAGTTGCCTGAAAAAATGGGGCAGCTGAGGGAGCTTGCTGTGTTCCTTCTTGGCAGCCATCAAGATCACTTGCAGGATGGCAACGAGTTGGGGAGGGCAGTATAGTGCGCCTGTCGCAAGGTATCCCATGTCCCCTTGACGTGTTGGAAACAGTCGAGCTTTTACTAGCGTCGGACATTGTCATTGTTGATTTGACGACGGTGATAGACGGTGGACACGCCGGTCATGTTGGCCAGAGGCAAACCATAATCATTGAGCTTTGAGATCTTGATCCAAACATGGGTGGCACCTTTTGAGGGGCTTAGCTTGAAGTTGGCATGTTTCGTCTCGAGGCCCACGTTGTTGGCTCGAAACTGTTCGTAATTGTTCTTGCACAGGCGGTGCTCATGCCGAAAGAACATGACGAGAGCCGTTTGGTACCAGATCTGGGTGTTTTCTAGGAGAAAGATCTTGGTCTTGAGCTTGTGTTACGGTCGTGCCTAGCGCTAGCAAAGGTGTAGCCTAGGTGGATATGTCGAGGGTAATTGTGCAAAGGCAAGTAAGCTCAACGATAACTGTAAATCGGTACTGACCGAGACAGGGCTTGGATCACAGTCTGTTGCTGATCCGTGAAGTGCTTGACAAGAGCACAAGGTTGCTGAACGTGTCGATAGTGAGGAGCAGTGTAGAGTATTAGGGATGTAACTGTTACGACTGGGTAGAACCTATTAGGCTTGCCTGCAAGCCTGGAATAGTATCACACGGGACTAGAAGGTAAGGGTAAGGTAATGAATGTAATAACGGATGTAGTACAACTAGTACTACATTACAGTAACACATAGGGGGTGTTCTAGATATACTCCGTACGGGAACTCCCATCGGAGGTCCCTGTAAAACTACCCGACGCGGATGTTTGATACGCGTACCGCGGATACTATAACAGGATCCCCCCCCTAGGCCGAGATTCCAGATCGGCCAGCGCCGGTCGTGTTTCATGTAGGCGCCTTTGTTCTCTCCTTTTGCCCTTCCCACCGGTAAGCGTTCGTCGCTTACACACGTCTACCTGTTTCACAGGGTACCCGAATTTCGGGCCCGATGGGGCGCGTCTCGTTTGTTGTTCTTTTCTTTGTCCTGGCGCGGACATCCGTATGGGCGCATGTCCGACTCATTGTTCGGGAGGTGTAAACAAAGGAGACCGTCGTTGATGTTGACGTCTATACCGCTGTTGTTGTACGATACCCTCTCTCCATATGCCCATATCCACAGCAATAGTATTGTTCTAGTTGCTCTCTTTGCTAGTATCGCAACTCTTCTTTTGTTTGGGCCGCCGTAGCAGCAGGGATGTAGGGTATAAAGGGGTTCGCGTTCGCGTTTGCGAGGTGGGGAGTAAGTCGTAGGTGTCCTTTCGCTACTACTCACTTTCCCCTCCTACGCTATCTATCCCCCATCTACCTTTCTATTCCATTCGACATGCCTCCCACTCCCAAGACTTCCAAGAACCACGGCGATAAGCCGTACTCTCCGTCGACTCCAAAAGGGACGTCGAAGCTCGAGCAAGATCGGGGCAGGGGTTTCGTATACCCCAAGACCAAGTCCGCCGACGAGAGTGAGTGGTATCCGTCTGGCTGGGGTCCGCTGTGGCTAACATGTCGGTCGCTCCTTCAGAGGGGCAAGTTCGGTCCGAAGAACTTGCTCGCACGGCCTTCTTGGCCGATAGTCCTTCCATCCCTTCCCTCAAGAAGTTGTGGAAGGAGGGAAACGTCGCGGGGTTCGACGGTTTGATGGTATGTATTGTTCTTTTCTTTTATTCTCTCCGGTGGGGTTGTCGTATGCTGATTCCAATCGTGCGTACGTAGGCTCAGTACCGTGGTGGCTGGAAGTGGTGCTGCCTCAACTGTTTCGGTCACGAGGACCGCTTCCACCTCTCCGCCGAAAACTCGGTTCCCGGTTACGTCGAGGATGGGGTCAAAGGGTGGTACAACGTGATGGAGTTCGAAGGCATCTTCTTTTGCCGCCACCCTCTACCGGACGCGGGGAAATCCTCTGGACAGGGGAGTTCCTGCTTCCCTTGCCGGGGAACTAACATCAAGTGCGCCCCTTTGCCGTCCACCTTCATGACGGTTTTCGATCCGGCCTACGGTATCCGCACCCGGTACCAGGCGGCGTGTGAGGTCCTTACGATCCCCAACGTCCCCAATCCGGTTGCTATCGCCGTCGCGGACGAGTTTCAGAGGATCATGAAGCTCATGGTAAGCAGTCGCTCCGTTTTGGACCCCCGGCGGGGATCTGCCTCGGAGTTAACGTTCGCCTTTCGCGTAGGTTCTTCCCCTTCTCTCGAACAAGACCGATTGTCTTGTAGAGACCCGATGCTATCCCGCCTGGCTCGCTGTCAAGGACAAGTACCGCAAGAGGTACTTCCT